TACTTTCCAGATGCAATATATATATGTATGTATGCATATACTGTATGTATGTGTGAAACAGTGTGATATACGAGATGCAAAACCCGATAGCATCACCATGTGGCCAAATGCCACACATTTATTTTTTTAACGTGAACACATTTTGAACTCATGCTTATATATATTGAGTTTGTAACGAAATGTTATTCTGTTCACAAACTATAGCCATTTTAGCAGAAGTTGCCCTCCCACTCCAGACATTTCGGAATGCAACTGACAATGGAACATAAACGCTTAATAAATTTTGCTATTTTAAACTCCTTATTCTATTGTATTTGAAATATTGGTAACACTTTACAATAACTATCTGTTATAACTAGTTAATACTCCATTAATAAACTGTTAGTTAAGGAGTTATAAATGACTTGTTAAATAAAATAAAAAATAAAATGGTGTGTAATAACACCAGTGAAACTTTGTAGAACTTAAAAAAAAAAAAAAAATGTGCCCAAACCTCATAGGTTTGCATTCTGTTGTATACTGCTGTTCTGCCATGTTATGACTCACAATGTTTAACATTTCATCTGTGGAGTTTCTTTGGTAAAATACAGCACACAAAAGCTTATGAGTGGAACAAGGTTAAGGTACAAAAATGTTATATTTTAAATATCACATCAAATTTCCGTAGCTTGAATTTGTTCCATCCATTTGCTGTCCTACAAAGTTTCACCGGTATTTGTAGGTTAACAAACTATACACAACTGATCTGTAAAGTGTGAGTTAATATATTAGCTAAGTGTTAGTTATTAGCTTATGTGTGTTATTGGGACGTTATTCTAAAGTTGCAACTATTCCTCATTTACAAAGTTAATAAATGAAGAATAGCGGCAACTTTAGAATAACATCCCAATAACGTATACAAAGTATTAACTGATACTTAACAAGTCTTTAGTAAGTAATTTACTAACTGCTTGTTCATGATCTATTACTAATTCATTAGTTATATTAATAAATCATTAAAACACAGTTAACAAGTCATTTATAACTTGTTAACTAACAGATTATAAGTTATCTGTTGGCTATCTATAAGGAACAGTTATAAATAATTAACAAACTATTAACTTTCATTTAAAAAGTCATTTATAAGCCATTAACTAACAGTTTATTAATGGATTATTAACTAGTTGTAACAGATAGTTATTCTAAAGTGTTACCGAAATATTTCTATATTTGTTCAGTTAAGTTTGTCCAAAACATTTAGGACTAGTTTGCAAATAGTTTTTGTGAAAAAAACTACATTTTTTTTCTTGAATACTTGAACCCCTAAAATGGCGGCTGTTGATTTGAATGTCTCAGAAGATTTGAATATTTTTCTAGGAATAAGACATTTTATTTTCTTCTTTTAAACGAGGGAATACTTAATAGGTCTGTCATTATTTACTAACCGTAAAGTCATTCCAAACTTGTATGACATTCTTTCTTTTCCAAGGAAAAGCACACAGTGACCAAGGAACAAAATGAGCTTAAAACTGCCTTATTGGGGGACATGTTTGGAAATATACATTTAAAGTCAGAATTATTAGCCCCCCTTTGAATTTTTTTTTCTCTTTTTTAAATATTTCCCAAATGATGTGTAACAGAGCAAGAACATTTTCACAGCGTGTCTGATAATATTTTTTCTTCTAAAAAAAGTCTTATTTGTTTTATTTTGGCTAAAATAAAAGCAGTTTAAAATTTTTTAAAAACAATTTTAAGGACAAAATTATTTATAATAAACCCATTTAGGCACATTTTTTGTTCGATAGTCTACAGAACAATCCATCGTTATACAATAACTTGCCTAATTACCCTAACCTGCCTAGTTAACCTAATTAACCTAGTTAAGCATTTAAACGTCGCTTTAAGCTGTATAGAAGTGTCTTGATATCTATATAAATAGATAAATATCTATTTACTTTCATCATGGCAAAGATAAAATAAATCAGTTATTAGAGATGAGTTATTAAAACTATTATGTTTAGAAATGTCTTGAAAAAAATCTTCCCTCTGTTAAACAGAAAACAGGGGAAAAATAAACAGGGGGCTAATAATTCAGGGGGGCTAATAGTTCTGACTTCAACTGTATATAGCCAACATGTATTCTACATTATTTTTTAAATAAATAAATCCTCTTGCCTGCTTATGATATCTTTGTTGTTTGTTGTTTTTTTTCTGGCAGCTGATTGTCCATTTAAAAAAGGAGAATCAGTCTTTGAAGGAGCAGCTGGCTCTGATGACTGGAGAGCAAAGAAGTGACAAGTTAACCCAAGAAGAGATCCAGCAGTATGAACCAGTATTTCTTAACTTTGCCTGATTATTTTTTTGCTTATTTTGTTTTTACTTGGTGGCGGCATGGTGTGTCAGAGGTTATAACTGTTGCCTCACAGCAAGAAGGTTGCTAGTTCGAGTCCCGGCTGGGCCAGTTAGCATTTCTGTGTGTAGTTTGCATGTTCTCACCGTGTTTGCGTGAGTTTACCATACTCCCACATGTCAGTAATGGAACCTAAGCTGTCTAATTCTGCAGTTTATTTTGCTCTATGTGTTAATGTTTGTTTTGTAGAAGGACACATGAGTATTATTCCTGTTTTTTAGGTTGGAAGGATTGGTGAATGTATATTTGGAGGACCCTGACTGTGAAGTAACATTAGACCTGGGGCCTGATATGAGGAAAATCCAGTTTTGTTTCTCTTTGCTAAAGGTGAGTGAATTAATTCATCGATTTATTGATTCCATTCAATTCCATCGATCTTTATTTCTATAGCATGCTTTACATTGTGGATTGTGTCAAAGCAGCTTAACATAGAGGAAGTTCTAGTAAATTAAAACTGCGTCAGTTCTGTTATTGCAGTTTAGTGTAATGTAAGTGTCACTGTTAAATGCCAACTATTGAAGAGCAACTCCAACAATGCACAGCTCCACTAGTCCCAAACCATTGGGACATTGATAGGATCTGTTGCTGTCAAGATTAGGCTGTTTTCTTAATAATTTCTTTTAAAAATATTGAATATATTTATTCAAAACACTCACACATATTAGAGTGACATGGAGAAAATTATATATATATATATGTCTTGAAAGATCATAACAATATCATAAACTTATTTTTACAATTTTAAACCATTAAAGTATGGCTTGTTTACACAAATATATATATATATATATATATATAGCACATATAATACATAAAGCATCATAATGAGTTATATTAAAAATCTATTTTTCATGTTCATTTTCGTAGCCTACATAAACACTTTTGAGCTTTCAGCAGGCATTTGGTGATATGGAAGCTCAGTCAAGTCAGCATGCTTAATCGTTGAACTTTAATTAAAAAACAACGGTTTATGTGATGCAATATTGGTCATTAATACATTTGTTTTCTTAAAAATTTAGGTTTTCTACTTAAATATTTCACATAGACATTTGAAGATAACCTAATAAATGGGCCAGAGCTTACTATTACAAGAAATATTCAAGTGAATGTGCTGCTGTCAGTCAAGTGCACAAAATCTCTTTAGCCACGTCAGTATTTCACCCCAAATAAATAAACAATTATTTTGTAAATCTGTTTGATTTTATTATTATTTTTTTATTGTTTGGTTGATTTTATTTTGAACTTTTGGTCTGAACTTTTTTTTTTGGTTAAAAAGTATTTTATTTATTTATTTATTTATTTATTTATTTATTCTTTATTTATTTATTTATTTATTTATTTTTTTAAATAATCAAATGTTTTTAATGCATGTGTTCAATTCTTGGACACACGGTATCCAGGGTAATGTGAACATACCAACAAGAAGGACTAACTGCATCCAACAGGAGTAACTCAGGATGCAAGAGACAGATGTTTGAAAGGGATGTCCGAGTGATTGTATAAAAAAAAAACATAAAACCACAGCTGCCCAACTTACTGCAGAATTAAATGTGCACCTCATCTACCCTGTTTCCACCAAAACTGTTTGTTGGGAGCTCCACAGGGTCAGTATGTATACAGTGCATCCGGAAACCTAATCCTGTCTATGTAGGTTTATGAAGTGATTTGGCAAGAGCCAGTGTATGATTCTGATGGTATAATGACCTTGATAAAAAGTATCTTGGTTTCATGGCATCACTTTAATGTGACTACTGCTCGAAAATAAAGTATTTTTAAATATCTGGGTAATACAACAATAACAACAACATTTTCCCCATTGAACACAATATGTTTAATTTTAACACATTTAAAATATTTTGGATCAGTAAACATGTCAGGCTAAATAATTAAAACAATTCATTGACTTCTGCTGTCATTATTAGCTTCAAAAACAAATTTCTATACTTACAACGGCATCTTTGGATATCTTTCCTTCATTGGATATATATTAAGTCACTGCACTGTTCAGGTCTACAGCATGCGTGGATGTTGGTGTATAAGCAACTTGTTTTTCAAATCTTTCTTGAATTGTGGGTTGACCAGTAGCTTTTGATGTGGAGGATCCTTTTCTGTTGGAGTTGTGCCCTAAAAACTCAAAAAAAAAAAAAAATAGTCACAAACATGTTAAAAACTTAGATATACATCATAGGAATAGTATAACAGAAAATGTTAGTGGTTTTAAATCCTTCACTTTTCCAAACGGCACCAAACCTTGAAACCTGTTATTGTTGAAACCATGAAGTGATGTTGAAGCCTAAAAGTGATGTTCACATTGTTAAGACACTAATGCAATCAAACGGCACACAATATGGACTGTTTAATTTTGTGTTGAGGATCTTGAGATGTGGTTCATTGTGATGAATAAGCTTGTGTCCAAAAAAGAAGAGATGTAGTTTAGTGACCAATAGGGGGGGTTAGAGAAAAGGAAGGAAAGTATGGAAAAAGGACATTAAAGAAGGGCACTATATGTTGAGCTTTTATTATCTAATTAGATACACATTACATGTGTGAATATCTGTGCTGCTGTGTGTTTGTGGACTAAATCAAAGTTCACTGGTTAAAAGTTGCCTTCCTTTTCAGGCAAGAGTGCGTGAGAAACCCTGTGCTGGCAGTAGTATTCCATTAACAGGCATGCTGGATGGAAAAGACAGACGATCTCATGAAGATGTCCAAAAGCTGGAGGAGATGTTGGCACACCGTGATAATGAGATCAGTATCTTTTTCTCAGTTCAGTTATACAGGCCGGAGAATATTTAATTTTGTCATATTATATTTATTTGAATACATTTTCAGCCTCATTACCATGTGCTTAGGCTTAATTATATGAGGTGCTTGGGGGTTTAGAATTTTTTCTTGGCTATATTAGCCCCTTCATCTATTGACCTATTTTACAACCCGATCAATGGCAAATAAATTTACATTGCCTTGTATTTCATTGCAGACAGCACATTATTTAATTCATTCATTTTCTTTTCGGCTTAGTCTCTTTATTCATCTGGGGTCCCCCCAGCGGAATGAACCACCAGCTTATCCAGCATATGTTTTACGCAGCAGATGCCCTTCCAGCTGCTACCCATCTCTGGGAAACATCCATACACACTCATACACTACAGACAATTTAGCCTATTCAATTCACCTGTACCGCATGTCTTTGGACTGTGGGGGAAACCGGAGCACCCGGAGGAAACCCAAGCCTACTGATCCAGCCGAGACTCAAACCAGTGACCTTCTTCCTGTGAGGCGACAGCACTTCCTACTGCACCACTGCATCACCACATTAATTTATAATAATAATAATAATGACAGGTGTGCTTTGGGTCATTGTCCTGCTGAAAGGTAAACCATCACCCCAGTCTGAGGTCAAGAGCAGGTTCTCTGAAGCAGGTTTTCTTTCAGGATGCCTCTGTACATTGCTGCATTCATCTTTCCCTCTATCCTGACTAGTCTTCCAGTTTCTGCTGATGAAAAACATCCCCACAGCATGATGCTGCCACCAACATGCTTCACTGCAGGGATGGTATTATCCTGCTGATGAGCGCTGCCTGGCTTTCTCCAAATGTAACGCCTGGCATTCACTCCAAAGAGTTCAATTTTAGTCTCAACAGACCAGAGTTTTCAGATGCTTTCTGGCAAATTTTAGGTGGGCTGCTATGTGCCTTATACTAAGGAGTGGTTTCCGTCTGGCCACTCTACCATACAGGCCTGATTGGTGGATTGTTGCACAGATGGTTGTCTTCTGTAAGGTTCTCCTCTCCCCACAGAAGAACACTGGAGCTTAGACAGAGTGACCATCAGGTTACTGATCACCTTTTTGACTAAGGCCCTTCTTCCGTGATCACTCAGCTTAGATGCAGCTCTAGGAAGTGTCCTGGTGGTTCCAAACATCTTCCACTTACGGATGATGGAGGCCGCTGTGCTCATTGGAACTTTCAGAGCAGCAGAGATGTTTCTGTAACCTTCCCCAGCCTTGTGCCTTGAGACAATCCTGTCTCGGAGGTCTACAGACAGTTCCTTTGTCTTCATGCTTGGTTTGTGCTTTGACATGCACTGTCAACCCTGAAACCTTATATAGACAGGTGTATGCCTTTTCAAATCATGTCCAATCAACTGGATTTACCACAGGTGAACTCCAATTAAGCTGCTGGAACATCTCAAGATTGATAAGTGGAAACAGAATGTACCTGAGCTCAATTTAGAGCTTCACGCCAAAGGCTGTGAATACTTAAGTACTTGTGATTTTTCAGGTTTTTTATTTTTAATAAACTTGCAACAATTTCAAAAGCTTTTTTCACATTGTCATTATGGAGTATTGTGTGTAGAATTTTGAGGAAATAAATTAATTTTATTTATTTTGGAATAAGGCCTTAACATAAAAAATGTGAAGATGTGAAATGTGAAATCAAGAATGAAGTGCTATGAATACTTTCCGGATGCACTGTAAAACTAGTAAAAGGAGTATGCATTAAACTTGGTGAATTCTGGTAAATGAGGGCATCCAGAAGTCAAGGACTCCAAATATCTTTCCTCAGTTGCAACAGCACCATAAATAGTAGAGTATGCTGCTGCTGGTTGCTGTGATATTTACAGACTTTTAAAAGAAGATCAGAATCCTAGTTTTGCATTTGATTATCTTTGTATCAAAATCTTTATCCTTAACTTAAGCTTTTCAGGTATATTGGTGAATATGCTCAAAAGAGAAAAGAAGAAACTTCAAGATGTCACTTCTCAGATGACAAAGCCACAGAATAAAAATGAATCACCGACAACGCTAGAGGCAGCAGAGAGTGCAAAATATGACAGCTCTAATGGTGACATACATGCTCAGCATTCGATGACTGGAAAAAGAGGTGAGTACAAGATCTCAGTTGTGTTTTATGATATTCACTTAAAGGTGTTGTAAGTTTTTAACTAAAGCATAACAAAACCATAATATGTTTGCAGATATTTAAGAAACATGCTAAGTGAACATTCTTGTTTATCTAAAAAAACGATGTTGAAGTCAGTTATTCTGCTTTGAAATTGTATTTTCCATGCTGGGTTGCTGTCTTCGTTTTGGTTCTCTTGAAACGGCCAATGCCAGTTTAGCCAATTATAATTCAGCACCACGGGTTGCCTTAGTGGAAACCATATTTCATTCATTCATTGAGAACGGCCCTCAAAATCTGTGATTGCAACACGACCTCCGGTGGAACATTTCCACTGACCAAATAAGTTGTATATTTAACAAATGTTGATTTTGTTGGCTTCAACACTTCAAAACATTTCATACAGAGGCATGTTTAAGATGGTGTCAAATCAGTTTCCCTTTTAATAACAATGGATATTAAAGGCAGAGTTTTCATCCTAGTGGCCATCGTGATATCATTTTATATCAGATATTTTACACAATGTTGTAATCTCTTTTGTAACAGACAGGGTTAGACAGAGTAGCCAATAGCGTTCAGTTTATTTCACAACTGTGCTAGTCAGAGCTGTTGAGCTAAAACTCATAATAGCCTCAGGCCATGTCCACACTAATGCGTTTTCATTTGAAAACGCATATTTTTGTCGCTGTTTTGCCTTTCCGTCCACACTGAGACGCGTTTTTAAAAAACGAACACGTGTCTTTTTAAAAACGCTCTCCAAAGTGGATAAATTTGAAAACGCCGTTTTTGCGTCGTAGTGTGGACTAAGAAAACGGAGGCTTTCAAAAATGATGACGCATTTTTAGTCATGTGACACAGTCATGTTACTAATACAGCAAAAACGATGGACCACATTGTGCAGCATTTGTTTTGGATGCTCTCAGTTTTGACAGCTTTGTTAAAAATTAATGTAAGTTTGTACATGCTCCAGCTTGGTTTTCATCAAAGGACACAGAATGCTTCCGTTGTTTATGTCGTTTGTTTCGATACCGCAACTAATGGTAGTGACGGCCGGAGAACCACCCCAGATCTGTTCACACAGTTCAAAGTACAACAGTACTACTCTTCCATGCCCGCTTTTCTTTCCGGAATCCACCGCGTGTCTGTACTTAAGCCGTATAGTCTTTAATTTAGTTGTTATTATTAGTTTAGTGATGTCGTCCTTACTGTGAGGGTAAGCAGCGCCATCAGTACGATATTGTTCTTTGAAGCAGTCCAATATTTCAGCGTATTTGTTTTGGCACGTCTCCCAGTCTATATTTTCACTCTCTTTCACAACTTTGAATTCGTGCGTTACTTGAAGCAGCAACTCCACCTCACTGTCAGTCCATTTAAAAAACTCTGTGCTTTTCCTCGACATTTTGCCGCGACGTTTTAAAGAACCGGAAAGAAAATAAACGTCAAGCGGAAATGGCGCGTTTCGAAGAGTCTTACGTTTCACGCATGCGCCGTACAGGGCGAAATTGTTTTTAGCTGTTTCAGTGAGGATGACAAAGTTTTGGAAAACGAATGAAAACGACAGTGTGGACGTGAAGCGTTTTTAAATGAAAACTCCGTTTTCAAATTTATCCGGATTAGTGTAGACATGGCCTCAGTCTATAATTGATCACACACACGCAGAGCCCCTGTTGTCAACCCCTATCATTACAATAATATTAATACTGAGTCTAACTCTCCATTCCATCACATCTAAAATACAGATTTTTGCATAATTCAAGTGGATTTATTATGTTTTGTGGTCTGTATCAAGTTGCAAATATGATCCACTGTTTTAGTCTGTGCTGCATCTCTCTGGGCTACTATGATTTTAGTTGCAGTGTTGGGTAGAATTTGTTATAAAGTAACTAGTTATAGTACTATTCACTAGCACTAGTGTTAGTATAGTACTATTCAAATAAAAACAGACACTGTGTCACGGGCTGCGTCTGAAACCGCCTACTACTCAGTAGGTACTGCATTTGAATTTAAACGTACTGCTCGGCCGTTAGAAAAGTACGTTCTATACAGTATGAATGTAAAAAGTATGAATGGAATTCGGACATACTACATTCGCCATTTTGACATAGTCACGTGATGTACCTGTGTAATTTGCGTCGCTTTACTCCCATTCATGAATTCTCTCGTGGGGCATCATGGGATAGCGCAGCATGCATGGGATGCGCACTCCAGAATCTTGCCGGAAGTAGTAAGTCATCTGGATACTTCTCGCATACTGTTTTTCGAATTCTATGAATTCGGACATACTACTCAGCTCACATACTGATTTTAGCATACTATATAGCAGTGGTTCTCAAACTGTGGTACGTGTACCACTAGTGGTACGCAGGCTTCCTTCTAGTGGTACGCGGAGGAATCAATTATGTCATACATGTATGTACATGTTATACATGTATTTCAAAATTTTTCAAAAATGATTTATATATGAATATGATGACATATAGTGTATATTTCTAAGGTCCAGGCAATATTTCCAGGTGTTTAAGTACAGCAGTTTTTTTTTTTTTTTTTTACATTTTTAAGAACAGTAACCTACCATTTTTAACCTTTAAAAGCACAATTTAATTTAAATGTTGACGTGTTTAGTTTATTTATTTATTTATTTGTTTTTTTACAAATAAGCACAGTGCAGTGTTAATGTTCAGACTCTTTATAATATTTAAAGTGGCTGACAACAATAAATATTTTTAATAATAGGAATTAATCTGCCCCATTTTTGAACTGTGCAGAGCTGTAGCTGCTTTATTGGGACTACTTCGCTACTGTATTTCAATACTGCTCATTATGGTGGTACTTGGAGTGACAATTTTTTTCTGAGGTGGTACTTGATGAAAAAGGTTTGAGAACCATTGCTGTATAGTATAGAAGTATGCGGTTTCGGACGCAGCTACGGATTTAATTTTGAATCTTTTTTTTTTTCGCCTGTATACTAACTGTGTAGGTCTGTCTGCAATGGTTTTCGCCCCTCGGGCATTGCAGTTGAAAGGTGCTGTGCACTGCAGATTTCAAAAGAAATGAGGAGCTCAGATCAACACAGTCTGGCTGCTGTTTGTTATTATGTTATATTTTTAAGTGTTTAGGACAATCCTTGGTTTGAACATTGATGTGAATAAACTCTGAATTTCAGCATGCAGAAATAGCATCTTGAAGAGGCCGGGACATAACAAGTACTAAAGAGCATTTGATTGATTTGAGAACCTGAAATATGATGTGACATCAAAAAAAGAAAAAAATGTAAATAATAATCATTGATTTATTTTACCAGAAGTGACAGACCTAAAAATTGTAATCACAGAGAAACAAATTTCCACTCTAGGATAGCAACATATGTGTTTTTTTTCATACCAGCTGTGCATTTCTGGATGCGGTAGTTTCCTGTCTCCAGATGATGGTCAGGGTCCCTGTTAAATAGCAAACAAACTGACTTGCATAATGTGCACCACAGGTGTTTCTCATCTGCGGCAGGCCTCGTTTTGTTCCCATGGCTATCGGTCCTGCCCCCACCACATACCCCCATCTCTCATCACAGGCCGGGGGCACTCCATGGCTGTGCATACTCCTGGGGGGGGGCGAGACCTATGAGATGGGCCGAGAGAAGAGGAGATGTAAAAAAACAGAGGAAAGACAGTGTAGACTGAGAGCGGGAAGAAAGGCAAAGAGGTCCTCCGGGCTGGCGGCATTCCTGGTGTCCCTCTTAGCTCCCGCTTCGGTGGACGGAAGGAGGCTTTTGCATCTCGACAAATCGTGGTGATTCCTCAGCACTTTCCCTGCCAGTGGTGAGCCCCATGTCCCCTGCTCCTCCCCATGCTGGGAGCCGGCAGCAGGCTCATCTTTTCCTTGTCAGCCTCAGGCCGCCCCGGCACTCTGGGCAGACGAACAGTTTCTCCCCCACTCTGGTGTACTCCTGAACACTCGCCCTCCCTCTCATCTGCGAGGGCAACTGGACAACGTGTCCCTCCTTCTCCCAGATATAGGCACCACTGTAATGAAGTTTACGGCCACCTGGCCGCCGGTAAGAAGGGGGCGGAGAACCGACAAACTTTTAATACGTTTTTAATGAATAAATCAAACAAACTGAAAGAAAAAGACAAACAATAAGTCCAGGCTCGGTCCTCTCTCGTTCTCCTCTACCATCATTCCTTCTCCTATAGTCCAGAGCTCCTTCCGTGGGATTCGAGGCCGTTGTGTGCCACAGGTGTTTCTCATCTGCGGCAGGCCTCGTTTCATTGTCATGGCTCTTGGCCCCGCCCCCTCGCCACAGCAACATTCTAACAAAGAAACATTCAAACTACAAGTATTAAAAAAAGAACAGTTTCAAAATTTTAACATTATGCATCCTTCTTTTCCAGTGCCAGAATTATCTGCAGGTCAGCAGGAGGTATTTGAAGTCTTTCTGAGGGACCATAAAGAGCATTTATCAATCGAAGATAAAAGAGCTGTTTTGCAACAAAGGTCGGTGTATACAAGTGTCAGAATCCTGTCGTGACTGTTGTGTCATCTGAGTGTTCTCAGTGTTTAGTGCAGGGGTCACCAATCCTGGTCCTGGAGGGCCAGTGTCCCTGCAGGGTTTGGCTCCATCTTGCCTCAACACACCTGCTTGAATGTTTCAAGTATACCTAGTAAGACCTTGATTAGCTTGTTCAGGTGTGTTTGATTAGGGTTGGAGCTAAAATCTGCAGGACACCGGCCCTCCAGGAACAAGTTTGGTGACCACTGGTTTAGTGCGTCTGTTGTTGTTTTGTGACTCCTTCCCCTTCTACACTTATTTCCATCATTCCTTGCCCAGTTCTCTGATGAGTCAAAACTGGAGATGGACATGTAACATAGTCCTGTCTCTTCCATTCTTATTACCCATCACTCAGGGCCGGAGTGGGACTCCTTTTCAGCCCTGGAGTTTCAAGCCTCAGACCGGCCCACCTCAGTTCACGACTGACTATATTAAAATAAGGTCATTTCCAAATCAGTTTCTAATGACACTATCACGTCTTTTTTTGAGAAAACAGCTGCTTTAGAACTTCAAATGCTCAACAACCCTTACAGTATTATATGTCTTAAAAATTAAAATAAAAAAAAATAAATTACTTAGACGAGGATCGAACCCGAGTGAGCGACATCGTAACATAACGTGCTAACCACTGGACCACAATCTATACATAGAGTTGTGACTCATCTGACTCATTTAAGCCTAGTTCACACTACAAGATTTTAAACATCAGCAGATCGCTGTGCCGTTCACACTACATGACCTGACTTTGTGTCTTTTAATCTCTGTGGTGTTCTCACTACGCAACACTCCGTGAACGATCCACAAGAGGGGGGTCACACACTGCATGATCTGACAACAACTCATTCCCCATCAGCTCATTCAAGCTACCAAACCACAGCCAATGAAATTTGAGGGAGGAGTCGTCAGAAAAAGCTGAACACTATTGGCTGCTTGTGTGCTGATTACATCACTGACAGCGTTTCAAGCTTTGGAGAAAGCATTTAAAAACATCGTCAAATCAGCTGATCTATCAGCGGATTAACCACTCATCTGCAAGGTTCCAGTGGATAGATACACAGAGAGTTTTTAATTTTTGTAATTTTATAACTCTTTGAAATAAAACTAACATTTTTATAACACCCTGCCGTTTTCTAACTATCAGTGTATTTCTTTCTGACATTGTTATTTTTTATTATTACAAAACAGTAAAGAACTGAGCATTTCTGCCTTAAATTACCATATTGGTCAAAATGACTGCATGCATGTCTGATACTTTTCGCTGTGACTTTAAATGTGTGTGCATTTTCTTGCCTGGCAACTTCCTGCTAACACAAACAAAACTTTCTGATGGCAAAAACATCAATTTACTTCAGATATCTTTCAAAACAGCATATTCTGTGCTGTTAAATAGCTCCTGTTTGAAAGTGAAAATGAAAGCCAAGACCTTTAAGTGTTTTAGTATCTTAACTACATATTTATAGGCTGTATTACCAAAAAATATTATATTTTTAGGGTAATGGTGTCATTAAATATGATGCCAAACATTTAAAGCTTAATTTTAATATCTCAATAATAGCTTTGAATGTAAATATGTTGTGACAGTATGGCGTTTTATATGAGAACGGTCAGAATGAGCAGTATGGTAATTCTAATAGTTACAGAATTCTAGTTCCACTGTTAATATAGCCTCCTCTCATGTCTGTGTTAACGCAGAATGAAGCGAGTGCATTGATGCCCATTCTGACCAATCACAGATGTTTCTGCTGAGCTCCTGAACACACAGGCATTCAGCTCATGCTGATATGCTCTCTCATTGGCTGCAGCTCATTACTACATCTGACCACACGTGGGGTTGAGTCGGCCGACTGCTCTGGAATAAATTCTGGAGAAATAGATAAAAAGAGCAGAGCTGCGGTAAAAATAATGAATAAAAAGGCTGTGGTCAAGTAAATAAATAAATAAATTTTAAAAATGTGACTGCTGAGAGCAACAGATTCTGGAGCTAGGGAAACCGGCCCTCGCGGCCAAAAAACAGACCGGCCCACCAGGAATTCTCCCGGTTCTCCCGATTAGCCAATCCGGGCCTGCCATCACTCCTGATCATCTCATTGCTTACAGATGTTTGGGGTGGGGGCTTCCATGTCTTCCCTGTTTTGGCTGAGGAGGTAGTCCAGCTATTCATGTCATGACTTTATCTTCTTTTATCTGCCTTTACCTCCTTGATTTGCCCTCCTACTCATCCTACATGTCTGCGTTGCCTTGTCACATTGTTTTAGAAATGTATCCTTTCTATGCATTCATGTTCTGTCATGTCCAATCATGTCTTTGTGGCTATGTCTTTGTTCTGTCCCCTACCTTGCAAACACTGTATTTTCATTCTGCATCCTTGTCTAACCAGTTGTTGAAATACACATGTTCTGTCTGATACCTTCACCTGACATGTGGTTTGCTGTTAATTACTACTGGAATACTTATTTTAGAATATGTTAAATAAATAAATAAATAAATAAACACAAAATAAATGAATTAGGGGCTTCACGGTGGCGCAGTGTGGTTGCTGGTTCAAGCCTCGGCTAAGTCAGTTGGCATTTCTGTGTGGAGTTTGCATGTTCTCCCCACGTTGGTGTGGGTTTCCTCCGAGTGCTGCGGTTTCCCCCACAGTCCAAACAGATGCACTATAGGTGTAACGACGGGGAGTGACACTGACAACAGAAGGTAGGATCCAAATGCAGGTTTAATCGTAGTCAGGCAAGCAATGGTCAAAACTGGTGTAAACAGGTATATTGAGACAGTCCAGAATCGTAGTCGAATAACAGGCAAGGAGGTCAGAAGGCAGGCGGCTAAACAGGAGAACTGGATAAACAAGGCTAGGATGAAAACACGGGAAAACAAGACCAGGATAACGCGTTGTAATGTCACCTTACATATAAACAAGACTCAGCAAACTGGATGGGTTCATGAATGGCTTAAGTATGGTGTGTTATCAGCCCTTGACAAGGTTCAGCTGGTGTATGTAATCAAGCGAGATGAATGAGCAGGCGTGCGTGTTTGGAAGTGCATGTATGAATATGTAGTCCTGGGAAATGCAGAAGTGAAGTTCATGATTATAGTGGAAACCAGCGATTTCCGGAGAACGATCGCTGGTTATCGTAACAATAGGTGAACTGGGTAAGCTAAATTGTCCGTAGTGTATGTGCGTGAATGAGTGTGTATGGATGTTTCCCAGTGATGGGTTGCATTTGGAAGAGCAATCGCTGTGTGAAACACATGCTGGATATTTTGGCGGTTCATACCGCTGTGGCGACCCCAGATTAATAAAGGGACTAAGCCGAAAAGAAAATGATTAAATACATGAGTAAGTAAAAACAAATCTCCCTCACCTTTATTTGCTGAAAATGTTTTGTCACAGACTCACCTGTTGACTTTTAAGCTTGGACTTTAAAACACACTTCCATGTCACTTGTTCTGTGCACTGCTGGCGACTTAACATCTGTACACCTTAACATGTTGTGGAGATTTTGGGTTTAGATTAGTCTAAGTTTGTTTCTTTTGAATCAGAATTCAAAACACAACTATTTTGCTTGATTTCACTGCATCTTAAAACAACAAAAACCAGTCAAAACATCTAGTTATCATTATCTCAATTTAAGGATGGCTGACGTGAAACTGACATTTCGACACAGTGTCGAGATCCCAAAGTGCAAATGTTTCAAAACACTGGACCAAAGTATGATCCGCAACACACAGATCATGTGAAAAAGAGATTTGAAAAACAGGTCACATGACTAAAACGATTCCAAGCATCAGCCATTTCAGAAGCATTTCGAAACCTGGCGAATCTGCATTTGATTGACAGGGTCAGGAAAAACATGCAGCCTAGTGGACCGTGCGTTTGCACAGAGTAAAGCCTGTAGTCAATGCGTGTAGTCGAGCATTTATACTTCTGCATGCTGTTTGTGTTGCTCTGGAATAACACTTTCGAAACGTATAAACAGCTGTTATGCCATTTCTAGGCTGTTGTGCTCTCTTTATGTTATTGATTATTGAATTTTTAGTTTGAGAAATATAGATATTGTTGTTCATTCATTCATTCATTCATTTTCTTGTGGGCTTAGTCCCTTTATTAATCCAGGGTCGCCACAGCGGAATGAACCGCCAACTTATCCAGCAAGTTTTTACGCAGCGGATGCCCTTCAAGCCGCAACCCATCTCTGGGAAACATCCACACACACACTCACACACACATATTCATACACTGTGGACAAATAAGCTTACCCAATTCACCTGTACCGCATGTCTTTGGACTGTTGGGGAAACCGGAGCACCCGGTGGAAACCCACGCGAACGCAGGGAGAACATGCAAACTCCACACAGAAACGCCAACTGAGCCGAGGCTCGAACCAGCGACCTTCTTGCTGTAAGGCAACAGCACTACCTACTGCGCCACTGCTTCGCCCGATATTGTTGTTTTGAGTGTTTATAATTTTATTTAGTTTGATTGATATAAACAATGTTTTTGTCCTTGTTAGGTTGGTATAGACTGTAGCTTTAGACTATAAAAGGCTTTCTGGCTTTATTATTTTGCTAATTTATCTTATGTTGTACTTGATCCAGGCCCGGATTGGCTAATCGGGAGGACCGGGAGAATTCCCGGTGGGCCGGTCCGTTTTTTGGCCGCGAGGGCCGGTGTCCCTAGTTCCAGAATCGGTTGCTCTCAGCAGTCACACTTTTTAAAAATAATTTATTTATTTACTTGACCACAGCCTTCTTATTAATTATTTTACCGCAGTTCTGCTCTTTTTATCTATTTTCTCGCAGCCTCGTGAGCAGGATGCAGCCTGCAAGTTGATGATATAACTAGATAAGTCACCAATCACCGTACAGCTGTTGTGGTACAGTGGTTAGCACGATTAGATAATGACGCGGCCAACCTGGGTTCGGTCCTTGTCTGAGTAACAATTTTTTTTTTTTCATTTTTATTGTTAAGACATAATACTGTAAGGGTTGTTGAACATTTGAAGTTCTAAAAGAGCTGTTTTCTCAAAAAAAGACGTGATAGTGTCATTAGAAACTGAATTGGAAATAACCTTACTTTAATATAGTCAGTGGTGAACTGAGGTGGGCCGGTCTGAGGCTTGAAACTCCAGGGCTGAAGAAGAGTCCCACTCCGGCCCTGACTTGATCAGTATTAATCTACATACTTACAAGTTTATTCTTTTATTTAATTTAAGATTACTATTCTCGAAAAACTGTAACTTTTTAAATTTCACTCTGTAGACATATGACAAAGATTTTCTCATTGGCTGTTTCGTTTTGCAGGTTTGTTGAAGCTAAGGCACTTGGTGAGCAAGTTAACCAGATCCGGACCAGAGTCAGTAAGTCAAACTTTTTGCCAAATTTTGCCAGTTGTTATTTAGTATATCATATAGATTTAACATTATAACAGTCAACCTTTTATGATTCATTTATAACTATTTAGAATTCTCTGTGTGTGGGGGGGTGATTGTACAGTGCATCCGGAAAGTATTCATAGAGCTTCACTATTTTCACATTTTTTTATCTTAGAGCCTTATTCCAAAAGGGATTAAATTCATTTATTTCCTCAACATTCTACACACAATACCACATTATGACAATGTGAAAAAGAATTTTTTTTGAAATTGTTGCAAATTTATTACAAACAAAAACCCTGAAAAATCAGATATACATCAGTATTCACATGCTTTGCTCAATACTTTGTTGATGCACCTTTGGTAGCGATTACAGCCTCAAGTCTTTTTGAATATGATGCCACAAGCTTGGCACACCTGTCTTTGGAAATTTTTGCCCATTTCTCTTTGCAGTACCTCTCAAGCTCTATTGGGTTGGATGGGAAGTGACGGTGTACATCCATTTTCAGATCTCTCCAGAGATGTTCCATAGGATTAAGATCTGGGCTCTGGCTGGGCCACTCAAGGACATTCACAGAGTTGTTGTGAAGCCATTCCATTAATATATTGGCGGTGTGCTTTGGGTCATTGTCCTGCTGGAAGATAAACCGTCACCCCAGTCTGAGGTCAAGAGCACTCTGAAGCAGGTTTTCATTCAGGATGTCTCTGTACATTGCTGCATTCATCTTTCCCTCTATCCTGACTAGTCTTCCAGTTCTCGCTGCTGAAAAACATCCCCACAGCATGATGCTGCCACCTCCATGCTTCATTGTAGGGACGGTATTAACCTGGTGATGAGGGCTGCCTGGTTTTCTCCAAACGTAACGCCTGGCATTCACTCCAAAGAGTTCAATTTTAGTCTCATCAGACCAGAGAATTTTGTTTCCTATGGTCTGAGAGTCCTTCAGATGCCTTTTGGGAAATTCCAGGTGGGGAGAGGCTTCCGTCTGGCCACTCTACCATACAGGCCTGATTGGTGGATTGCTGCACAGATGGTTGTCCTTCTGTAAGGTTTGCCTCTCTTCACAGAAGAACGCTGGAGCTCAGACAGAGTGACAATCTGGTTTTTGATCACCTCCCTGACTAATGCCCATCTCCCCCGATCACTCAGCTTAGATGGCCGGCCAGCTCTAGGAAGAGTCCTGGTGGTTCAAAACATCTTCCACTTACGGATGATGGAGGCCGCTGTGCTCATTGGAACTTTCAGAGCAGCAAAAATGTTTCTGTAACCATCCCCAGCCTCGTGCCTCGTGACAATTCTGTCTCAGAGTTCTACAGACAATTCCTTTGTCTTCATGCTTGGTTTGTGCTTTGACATGCACTGTCAACCCTGAAACCTTATATAGACAGATGTATGCCTTTTCAAATCATGTCCAATCAAATGAATTGACCACAGGTGAACTCCAGTTAAGCTGCTGAAACATCTCAAGATTGATCAGTGGAAACAGAATGTACCTGAGCTCAATTTTTTAATTTTTCACATTGTCAATATGGGGTAATGTGTGTGGAATTCTGAAGAAATAAATTAATTTAATCCATATAGGAATAAGGCTGTAACATAAAAAATGTGGAAAAAGTGAAGCGCTATGAATACTTACCGGATGCACTGTATGTTATATATATTACACAAACACACACAGTGTACATACAGTTGGACACGTAACTAAACATAATAGATTTCATAACTAACTTCTAATTACTGATAATAACAGTTGATGTTGACAGTTAATGTTGATGACTGCATAATATTTTACTAGTTATTTTGCAAGCTACTAGTATTCAGCTTAAAGTGCAACAGTGGGTTGTTCTGTAGACAAAAAAAAAAAAAACATTCTTGAAGAGGCAAGAAATATTGACCTTAAATTTTTTTAAAAACTTCTTTTATAGAAGAAAAAATAAAATATTACAGGGAACACTGTGGGAACACACGTGTGTATTTCTTTGCTCTGTTAAACTTTTATTTTTTATTTATTTACTCCTTTTTACTCACACGCAATTTTGGTAGGAATAGTATTTTAAAAGTCTTTTGTCTTTAATAGGCAGATAACAGAAACTAAAAGCAAGTAAAATACCACAAACTAGAAAGCATGCAAGCAAAGGACAGAGTTTTCTTCTCACAAATTTTAAATGTTCAGTTTGTTGCTGACACAGTTCAGTTCATTGAGATCTCTTTTTTTGAATCAGATTTTTTAAATCTGCAGTGGGTCCACAGGAGCAAGTTTAAAGACCTCCACTCTAACCTGTCAACGTTATCAATCAATCAATCAATCAATCAATCAATCAATCAATCAATCAATCAATCAATCAATCAATCTCTTTCCTTCTTTTTTAGACTATCTGAAGGGCGAGCTGAAAAACAGACGAAAGCAAATGGCAGTCCAAGGTTGGTGACAAAAAAATTACTTCTTTATTTTCTTTCACATAATCTTTTCCCTTACCAAATCCTCATATTCCGGATCAGTTTGTGGCATGGCCCTGGTAACAGTGTTTGTAATAAAATTTACCGTTTTTTTTCTATTGCTAACATACTTTTTTTCAATCTGTAGTCACATTTTCTTTTAACACAATTAGCACATCAGTCTGCGGAGGGTTTTTCCCATATGCGGTAACAAATTCCATTAAAACAACACTCTTTCAGCAGTTCCTGCCTCCAATACCTCAGTCACGGAGGTCAAGCATGAAATGTTCCTGAATGAGAGCAAAAATGTGCCAAATTGCAGTTAAAGTCGACAAATTAAAAATGAAACACCTGAAATTACACGAAACTGCGGAGGAAACGTGCATATTGTGGTGACGCAATGCCGATAATCGAATTATGTGCTATAACATGCTATAACATGAAGGAACATTCAAAAAGCAGCTCCTGAATACACCTTCATCATATCATAATCTTACTCAGATTAAGGCAAATAATTTGATAAGTGATGTCCATGTAAACGTAGTCAATGAAAGCAGGTAAATCTTCAGTTTATTCAGCAAACCGCTATTTACCCATTGACTTTTCTGGGTTTCTTTGTGTGTATTTTGATTACAAATTTACTACAAATCACACTGTACTTCCTTGAGAAGACGTGCACCACAATTGCAGCTTTGCTCAATGGCCTTTGTAATTTCAGTTTGATCAATCAAACTGTGTTTTTGGATTTTCAGTTATCTTGCTGAAGTGAGTGCTTTACTCTGCATACTACAACTTCTCACAATGCTAGTCAGATGAGCATTGGTGGAAAGGCAGAGGGAATTGATTGAATGTATTGGGTGAGATGTTTGCTTGCTGACTGTAGTTTGATGAGCTGCTCTCATTTTGTAGCCTGTCTATAAAATTTACAGGAGATACCTAAAGTAACAACAACAAAAAAAAAATCTGAATGACCTGGCCATGCATTTAGAATTGCTGAATGTTTTGACTTTTTGTACAGTTTGACAAAAGTCAAGTTTTTGACCTTCGTCTGAAATAAGTCACATTACATCAGTTTCTCTTTATTCTGTTCTTTTTAGGCTTAACAGGAAATCAAACAGAATCAGAGTTGGATCCTTTTGAGGAGAAAATCCTTACCCAGATAGAGGAGGAGAAGAAGAAGTGTGTTTCTTTTTAATTAAAATAACAATAGGGTATATGCGGAGCTAGTGTTTCTTCCACAACTGATAAACTTCCGGTTCATGTGACTTTTTCTATTTTATACGGTTTCTTTTACAGCATCGATGTTGGAATGAAATTAAAATACAATCAGTTAAGTAGACTTTGGCGTTTATTTAGTCAACACAGGCTCATTCTGAAAAACGTAGTCCCACGGGCGTTTCTGGAGACCGCAAATTATGTAGCCGGGGGTACATATGGCTGCATTTCATTTTTTTAAATGAACGCTATGGGGTGGTTTAACGGCATTCTTATTCGCGCTTACCGGTTGACTGCTTACCCCATGTGGCAGCTTTCCCACCGCAACCAGTTTATTCAGTTATCTCATAGTGTACGTCGACTGACTTGAGATGCAGAGGGGAGATGACCATGACGGGGTTCGAGTTCAGGGAAGAGCAGGTCCAGAAATCAGGTAAGACAAAAACAGAATCCAAAAAATAAAACGAACAAGCGAATTACAGGGTGGGAATGTGGTAAAATCCGAAAACATGGTAAACATCAGACGAAGGCGTTTCTTTTTTCTGGACGGCTTTTGTAAATTGTTGCTTGGGTTTAGGGAAGTAAGTGGGTGGGCGGGTCAGTCGATTGGTCAGCCGGCCAGCCAGTCATTGAGTCAGTCAGACAGACGTTCAGTCGACAGCGGCCTCTGGTGGGTTTACGCGAGAATAGTGGGCACCAACGGCACTCGTGGGAGAAATTTGAGATAGGAAAAAGTGTACGCAGCGGTCTCTCTTGGGTTTGCGAAAACAAAAACTGCACAAATACATACCTCACCGGGCGTATTTCGCGGTTTCAAGAAACGGACTACGTTTTCAGAATGAGCCTGGGTTGCATTTAGTTGCTCAAGCGTCAAAACGAGACAAAAAGTCGTTTACTCGCATGCGCCCATCAGAATCGGCAGGATAGCGCAGAAACTTGAATATACTGGGGTAAAATAGATATTCATATTTTAAAGACGTGGTGGGGAAATTGTAATTTAATGCAGTGCTTCTTGTACAATCTGAGACCCACTTTATATCGGATATCACTCAGCCAGTGGAGATCTCCGATTTTTTAAAGAAAACAGACCTTAAACGTGTCGATTTTGTAATGGCATACAGTTCACCGGAAGCGCATAACCCAAGTTACAGACAAATAAAAAGTTCTTCTGCATTCTTCCGCATATACCCTATTCACAACAACAAGCTTCTTTAATGTTAAATGTACATCTCAATTAAAACTTTCTTATGTCTCATGAAGTTTATGATCTTTATGGAATGTGTTCTGTGTAATACTTGTATATCTGTTCTTTTTTTCTATCTTTATAGTTACAAGATCACATCTGGATGTTTAAAAGATTTGAAAACAGAGATTGAACATCTGCAGCTGTTACTTGAAAAGTCGAAAGTAAAAATCCAAAGTGACTTTGAGAACTGGTGGACCCAGGAAGGCGCTAGACTACAGGTTTTTATGTCTGCAATATATAGTATTAGCCCCTTTCACACAGTGATACCGGTAGGTCTCCTGAAAATTTCCGGAACGACTTTACCGGTAAATTAATAAAGCACTGTTCACACAGGCAAGGCCGTTACAGAATTTTTCCAGAAAAGACCGTTCACACATCCATTCCAAAATACCGGTAAATTCTGACATCATTAACCAGAAATGAGCTCTAAACGGCTGTGCTTTGTATTTGTAAACATTCGATTACATTACAAACTCTGTGGATGGATAAGTATTGTGAACAACGATGAAATCATATGGAGGAACACATTTACATGTCGAGATGTACATAATATGTGTGTTCTGGCGCGCACCGGCTGCTTTACGTGCACACGCGTCAGGTAAGCTTAAAGGTAAACAAACAACGGCTTATCATAAGCATTTCATCATTAACTTTTTTACACAGTTGGCATTAAGAAGGAACAGAAATGTTATCTGACCAACATCTAGCAGCTAAATGTGTCTGCCTGGAAAGATATTCATTTATTTTCATAAACCGCGCAGTCGTGAATGCGTCTGACCAAATTAGCCACAGATCAGTTATTAAGATTTAAAGTTCCAGGATCTGCCAAATCATCTTAGATCATTTAAGCGAGGTACGAAGAACGGACCCCAGGAGCCACAGATCACTAATACCTACAAATTGTCTCCATTCCAAAATAAGCTCTTTAAACCAACTTCAGCTTTGAAGACACTACAAACAAAATTGATTGTCAATATACTATGGAAACTCGAATATCAAAAGACAACCTACAAACATTGACTGAAATATAACACATAACAAGGGGGGCAGACAGTCACTGCGGCAACTAACAATGGTACTCATGGTGATAAACAAAGGGATTAGCACAGGAAACACAGAGAGAACAGAAACACATAAAGCAATGGGTCTTTAAATGGGTGCAGATTTCAGCACTACACTTTGATTAACAAGTCTGAGAAAATGTATGTTTTTATTTTATTTAAAAATTACACTTTTATTACATTGACTTAATGTACAGTATGTATTGTACCTTTCTTCATCAGGGTCACAGTGGAGAGAACACAGGAAACAATCGAAGAGGCATCAGCCCTCTCAGCCACATGTTAACCAGGTGAAAATATAGATATACATAGTTGAGGTCAAATGTTTACATAAATCTTGCAGAAATGTTGATTATTTTTCCAAAAATAAGTGGATTATACAAGTCAATTATGACAAAATTATTATGACAAAATGCAAAATACTTTTTTTAATTAAACACTGACTTTAAAAAAGATGTTTTACATAGAATATGTTTGCATTTAATCCACAAAAGAAAATGATTGTTAAATTTATTAAACAAAAATAGCTTGTTTAAAGTTTGACAAACACTTTATTCTAAATGTGTTGTTACCTGAATGATGCAGAAGGATGATTGTTTTTTGTGGGAGCATGTTTGTGTGCCTACCTATCTAAGAGTTGTCCTTACACACTCATTAACAGAGACATGAGAGTTAAGTGGGAGCATTTTAGATCCTCTGTTATTTGTTTAAGCACATTGCGACACAGTTGGAGCAGGAACTGTAGGGCCATTACACATGTAATTCATAGTCTTCACTCTCCTATGTTGTCTCAGAATGACTGTCAATGGCCCTGAGAGACTCTGAGAGACTCTGAGGGCCCTATCATAGACCCGGCACAATGCGGCGCGACACAATTGTTGTTTGCTAGTTTCGGCTTGGCGCAGGAGTCGTTTTGACATTTTGCGCTACGCTTTTTAAATAGCAAATGCATTTGCGCTCATATGTGCGCCCATAGGCGTTCTGGTCTAAAAAAGGAGGTGTGTTAAGGTGCATTGCTGGTGCGTTGCTATTTTGAGGAACTAGAATAGTTCAATAGACCAGATCAAAGCAAGTCTATAGTCCAGCGCAAAGCGCGTTAGTTGTGCGCCTCGCTTACACACTGCTTTATACACACAGGATGTACAGCAATACACAAATCTTTACAAATGAAAAAGTATTATTACAAAAAATATTATTTTCTCCATGCCTTCTTCATCTCGGGATGCTTTTTCAGTTTATTAATAACAATTTGCTTTTGTATAATGTTATTATTATTAGCAGTATTATTTATTATACGCATATTTGTATTTGTTTTATTAAAAACAAGCTTAGATTTGTCCACCTGTCAGGTTTCAGACCATATGGGGCACAGCATGTGTATTAGGATATAACTCAGTTGTTTGACCACACTTCGTTATTATTATTCATTTATTCGTTTGCTGGAAATTCGAACTGAATTTAGAAATAGTTTTGAAACAAATCTTTGCGCTTAACAAACGAATTTTTTTTAAATCTTACCATTTTGAACAATTTACTACTCTGCGCTTTTGCTAAGCTAACCGTCTCTATTGGCATTAACATTTGAGCCTATTACATTCAGAGATGTTGTTCATCCACATTACACATGAACTAAAGTTTAAAATGTGATATCGTAAGGGACGACTCCTTTAAGGCTGGGTCTTGTTAATGTGTTGATGTTCCTAATTGCATAATGTTTTCTTCTGGGGTATCATTAAAGATTTGCACTTCCTGTAATACTATGACCATCATTCCCTTGTAAAAGCCAATGTCATACTAGGGGCTGAGTGTATGCAGCCCCTAGTATGACATTGGCTTTTTATAGGCCAGAGTGCCAGTAGAACAGGTGTCCAGGCATGTTGTGGCAACAACAGTTGCTTACTGTTCGGGTTGGGAATGCAGCCTTAGGTTCGTACTATGTTTTAATTATGCACTGACATGTCAATTGCATGTACACATGGCAGTTTTTCTGCAAAGGTTTCATAATTTCTGCTAGAGAAATGTGATAGTAGCCAACATTAACTATACATAAGTTGCACACAGCTCAAATCATAACTGAGGCGAGCTCAATCATGCAGCATATACTGTGAGCCCTCATGACAGCTTACGCTTCGGTTCAGCTGAATTTTCCTCTTTGGTTTAGCTGATTTTGGACTGGTTCAGGAAAGCTCATGTGGAAAGATATGTAAACATTGACCTTAACTCTATATGTATGTGTAAACAGAATTATGTTCAATAATGTAGCAGTTATTTGATGTTAACATTTTAGGTGGACTGAACTCCTATTTTGTGTGGAAATGTGTTGGAATTGCTTAAACAAGTTTGAACCATTTTTGTTTAGGAAAAATAATCTCAAAGATGATGATTCAAACCTTCAGGGGGGGAGACAAGAAGAGATCAGAGATAAGAGGTACGATCTGATGATTGTACAAAACAATAAATATTGAAAATCAGGGGTGCAAGCTACAGTACTTCAGTAAATATACTTCATTATTGAAATACTTATTTTGAAAAAGGTACTATGATACAGGTACAAAGGTAATATGGAATATATATATATATATAGTAAATAGTACTTCATTTAGAAGACAAATTTCAAATAGCTGTAATAAAAATATTTTGACTCATTAATTTGAAAGTATTTTTACTTCCAATGAAAGCTTGTTTAAAAAAACATTTATTGTTTGACTAATACAATACTACAATACAATACTAATATAATAGTATTATTACAATACTAATAGTAATAGTAATACAATACAATACTAATATAATAGTGTTATTACAATACTAATAGTAATAGTAATACAATACAATACAATACAATACAATAGTAATACAATACAACACTAATAGTAATACAATACAATACAATAGTAATACAATACCAGGGTTCAACGCTAAGAATTTTTTCTACTGATCCATTCGGGCCAGTGGTTTAGATTTTTACTAGCCCCACCAAAAAAATAAATAAATAAATAAAAAGAATTTTTTTTTTTTTGCCAAATATTTTAAATAATATGTCAAAAATAACGTCTGTAAATCTAGCATTTCAAAAGTTAATAAATGGTTGAGCAAAATTCTTAGTGTTATGCAAACAAAACGTCAAACGTCATCAGGGAAACGGTTTGAATTTCCGCTTAGTAAAAAAAAACTTTAGTGTGCCATTTGGGACGACACTACATACATATACTATACTGTTGAGTAAGTGCATAAGTACATAGTGCATAGTGTGCCATTTGAGACGCAGCTTAGGTTATGGGGAAAAACAGCATGCTCAAAACATCACGGACGAACCGAAAAGCAATATAGTATCTACGACATCACAGAGAAGATAGCATTTAAAGACTTAAAAGCACAAACTTAAAATGCACGCAATTGACAAAAAGTCGCAGGCAAATTAAAGTTTAGTGACAAGGCAGCACTGTCCTAATCGGGCCAGTAATGATCCTGTCTACTGTCCCAAGTGTCTCTCACGCTGGCCCTGGGCCACCGGGCAGTCCTTATTGTTGAGCCCTGAATACAATACTAATAGTAATACAATACAATACAATAGTAATACAATACAATACTATACTATACAATACAATACAATAGTAATACAATACAATACTATACTATACAATATAATACAATTGTAATACAATACAATACTAATACTAATACATCACCTGGCTGATGTGCAATTGCAGGGGTGCTCAACCCTGTTCCTGGAGACCTACCATCCTACAGAGTTCTTCCTACAGAGTTCAGCTCCAACCCTGATCAAACACACCTGAACCAATTAATCAGGACCTGAACAGCACTTGATAATTACAGGCAGGTGTGTTTAATATGGGTTGCAACTGAAATCTGCAGGAAGGTAGATCTCCAGGAACAGGGTTGAGTACCCCTGTGCTATTGTAAAAATCAACTTTTTGAGATTAGAAACTTTAGAAGAAACATACTGAACAGTATTCAAGAAATGTGAGTTTGTTTAAATGTTTGTACAAATATATACTGTATGTACAGTGTGCATATGTACTTTGTGTACATAAATATGTACACTGATCTCTGGCCTGGAGCGGTATGGTGGCTTAGTGGTAAGCACTGTTGCCTCACACTGCCAGTTGTCATTTCTGTGTGGAGTTTGCATGTTCTCCCTGTATCCACGTGGGTTTTCTCTGGGTCCTCCAGTTTCACCCACAATCCAAAGACATGTGGTATAAGTGGTTTGAATAATATTTTCCCACCTTAGACACTGTCTAGCCATTGAATTTTAGTCTCCTGACATCACAACCTAAATCTAACCTAATATTAACATCTTATGATGATGTGTGCCTGCTGGGCAATAACTCGATGCACTACATAATGTTACGTTTACACACACATGTACATATCACATGCAAATGTATCAGCTTTTCACAGCGTGATACTCACTACTCTTGAGTACTTTTAAAAGGTCTACTTTTTACTCATATTTTGAGTAATATTTACAGCAGATACTTTTACTAATTCTCAACTTACACTAGATTTTTAGGCAAGTAATGGTACTTTACAGTCTTAAGGATTTGTTCTACTGGCCTGATCGAGCCAGTGGTTCAGATTTTTACCTGCCCTGCCAAAATTTTCACTTACCCCACCAAAAAAAAGTTAACAGCTATTTCTTAGCCACATACAGTATTTTAAATAATGTTTCAAAAGCCAAACATAATTGTAATATAATACCTACCCTTTTTTTAAGCATAACTTTTTTATGTAACTGAAAATAAAAACAAATCAATTGTGATGTTACTAAATTTGACTCTGAAGACTGGAGTAATGAAGCTGAAAATTCATCTTTAAAATCACTGGAATAAATGATTAAATTAAATGATAAACAACCTTTGAACAGTTATTTTATCGTGCAATAACATTTCACAATTTTACAATGTGTGCTGTTTTGTGATGAAATAAACGCAGCCTTGGGTGCGCTCGCAAACTGAAGAGCAGGGAGCGGGTATGAAGATGGTTGCACCTTGGGTTTGGTGCGCATGGGGATTGAACCAAAAAGCTAGCTGGACTGTACCAAAAAGCTGAAGAGCAGGGGAGGGGTGGTTGGGGGGAGGGGAGTTTTCCAGGAGACAGAACAATACAGGAGATAGGCGGGAGATGGGTCTGAAATACTAAAATCACAAACACAAACTGTTGTTGTGTGAAACGCTGGAGGAAGCTAGCATCAAATGGTGACGTAACAATGCTAAATGAACTATGCACTATGACATGTTAAACAGGAACATGAAAGAAACATTTAAAAAGCAACTTATATAAACACCTTATTCATTTTATTGTCTTATTCAGATTAAGGCAAATATGTAGATTACCGATGTCCATGTAAAATGTAGTCAGTGTCTCATCAATGTCTTCTTAGCCATGGAGGGTTTTTTTTTTTTTTTGTGTTGTAGTCATCAGTGCAGGTCAGTCACTCAACAGACTGGATCCAAATGACCATGTTAATATTACAAGGGAGGGACAGACAGGCAACCAGAAGCGTAGACGCCATTTTTCTTACAATGTTGTATTTGGAAGTATTCCCAATAGCCTTGATTAATGCAGCCTAACAAATCGTTGTTTCAGTGGGCTAGGAAGACCGACGAACTAATGTCAGCTTTAGATATTCTCCTATTATCAACTGCAACAGAATCTGGGAAGCTAAACCATTCAAAACGTTGTGATTAATCAGCAGGATTTTAAAATATAAGCACATTTGTCTACAGAATTTGCATCTGAGGCAGAGTCATCATTTAAATGTATTTGACTATTAGCCGTATTTGATCACAAAAAAAAAATCATTAATCATGGTTGCTGACCATGTCGATTGTAGGTGTACATGGATAGCCAAACCTGCATGATTTGCCAAATGCCTATTACTTTTACAGCAAAATTAATACTCAAAATGATAAATATAAATATACTATTAGATTTGTAGTTATGTTACATTGTAAAAATAGAATGAACATAAAAACACTCTAAATACATCTAGACCTGCTTTTTACCAGCAAGCAATATCCTTTAAATGCTGAGCTGTCAAACATGACAACTGCCAAACTCATCTGCGCTTTAAATTTGATCTGGAGTGGCAGGCGCTTTACCCGTTTCTTTCTGATCATTTCAGCTCCGCCACTTGATGTTTACATTAGAGCTGACATCCTGATTCACCTCAGGGCATATGTAGAAAACCTGTAGAACCTAGTATGGGCACCAATTGCTTCAGAACCTCAGGTTCATTAAAACCTCAGGTCAGACCAGTCCATTCCAGAGGTCTGAAACCCTGACCAGTGAACAAGAGATAGTTGTGCCAGCCTATACTAAAAGGGTTCTCTATTTAGCTCAACATGCTATGGTCAAACCTTAAACTACACACTGGGTTTTTCCAACTAGAACTGAGCCTCACCCTGAAAGTCACACCCTTCCTTGAGTTGTTACTGCATGCAATCCATGTCCTGTGCTTGGCAAGTGACATTAAAATTTCCAAAGCCTGCCAGCTGGTGATCTGCAATGACTTCCATTACTTTGAACTTTCTGTGCCACTCATTGAACCCATCCCTACTGCAATGATACCAGAGGTTATCTTAGACAACACAGTGTTAACTGCTTCGTTCAAACTCATTGCACTCACATCTGTCACACCAATAGTCAAAGAACAAGTGTAATAAGTGAGCTCACTTAGGATCAACACCTCACCTTGTACACCATCACTCATCACTCCATAACTTAAGTGGTTGGAGATATGATACTTCCCTCTACAATAGGGACAAATGATGTAATGACAGATGAACCATACTCGAGATGCAAGTCTAACAAACCATGAATGATGCTGATGCAATGACTTATCACCCATCTGGCCAATTCTCAAAGCAACCAGCAGTTGGTGCCCCACCATAGACTATAGAAAGCTAAATCAGCAAGTGCCATTGTCACAATGGCCGATGACGCAACTGGAACAGGATATACCCAAACTCAAAGGAGCAACCATCTTCTCAACACTTGAAGCGACACCTGTACATCCAAATGATCAGCACAAGCTAGCATTTTACATTCTACATTAAACAGTACACATTCACAAGGTGCCCTTTTGGCTATGTCAATTCACCAGATGAATTTAACATCTTCTGAACAAAGCATACCCAGATGCTAGAGTTAGAACCTTACCTATGTGGATGACATCTTGATGAAAACCACCCCAGTGTCTGACCACCTAAAGGAGATAGACTTTACACATACTGTACACTACGACCAATTTAGCTTATTCGATTCACCTATACAACTTGTGTGGGAAACCGGAGCACCCAGAGGAAACCCATGCGAACACGAGGAGAACATACAAATTCCACACAGAAATGCCAACTGACCCAGCCTGGGCTCGAACCAGCAAACTTCTTGCTGTGAGACGATCGTGCTATTGATTGCACCATCGTAACGCCCAAATTGAGTAATATCAACAAAATATTTCTCATTAACACACATTAAGGTTAAAATAGTTTTGGATTTTTCATTAGTTTTAGTTTCTATTTCGTTTTGACTTTTTGTTTTCAAATTCAGTTTGTTTTAATTAGTTTAGTTTATAGGCAGATTTACTAGTCTTTATTAGTTTCTATATTTTAAAATGACTTTGTTTTAGTTTAGTTTTTATTAGTTTCAGTATTAGTTTGAGTGTTTTTTTCTAAATGAGGATATTTGTTAGGTGCAAGTTTTAAATTTAACAGGATAAATATTGAATAATAAAAACTCACCCATACATTTTCTGAAACATGTATTCAGAGAACACATGAACACTTTCATCTACCACAACCATCTACCCATCCTCAAATTCAAGTACAACAGCTCACAGGATAACAGTCCTAGGTACAATATGTGTACAAGGCTGCTTCTGAGGTTAGACACACAGTTAATGATTGGAAGTCAGTAGGTAGTGCTGTCGCCTCACAGCAAGAAGGTTGCTGGGCCAGTGGTTCGAACCTCGGCGCAGTTGTTGTTTCTGTGTGTATTTTGCATGTTCTCCCTGCCTTCGCGTGGGTTTCCTCCGGGTGCTCCGGTTTCCCCCACAGTCCAAAGACATGTGGTATAGGTGAATTGGGTAGGCTAAATTATCCGTAGTGTACGAGTGTGTGGATGTTTCCCAGAGATGGGTTGCGGCTGGAAGGGCATTCGCTGCGTAAAAACTTGTTCGATAAGTTGGCAGTTCATTCCGCTGTGGCGACCCCGGATTAATAAAGGGACTAAGAAAATGAATGAATAAATGTAGTCTGCATTCTCAGCAATAGTAATTTAAGTCAGTTAAAACATCACCATGATCTGAAAAAAATGTCTAACAGTAAAGTTTTGCAACCCAACTGAATCTTCAGAACGATTGTCTTTTATGAAATAAATTTACGTTTTTCACCAGATCCTCTCATTTAAGCCCTCGGTTCAGCCGCGCTGCAGTTGAATTACAGAATTAAATACAGAAATAAACCCCATTATTGGGCACAAATGTGTTAAACTAGTAGTTTAAAGTGTCTGTATTTAATGCTGTCACCATGCTGCTGTCATGTCCACTCGTTGTTTTTGTCGCGGGAGCAACAGCGAGGATGACTGGAGAGCCAGCTCGATCTGGCCAATGGCAGCAGGACTACAGACTCTAACTTGCTGTATGGGTCAAACACCTGCAGCGCGAAATAAATTTACTTCTAAACGGCTTACATAAAGATTATATTAAATACAATCACAAATACGAAAACGAAGGAGGTTTTTGCTATATTTTTATGTATGTACACAATACAGTTTCAGTTAGTTCTAGTTTAAAAAAAAAAAACCCTCGTTGACAATTATTTTACATTTTAGTTTTCGTTTCTTCGTTAGTTTTCATTAACTATAATAACCTTGACACACATGCAACTTTGTTTTTTGAGGTATCACCACACCTAAACTATTTTTTTGTTTTCTGAAAAGATTTTAAAACCATTTTACAAAACCACTTGTACAAGATGAACAGCCAGTGGCTTTTTCCCAACTATTTGCTGTTTTTTGCTGGTCTGCTGTTTCTAGTCCTTTAGAATAAGAACGTCAGCTAAATAAATATCTGTAAATTAAAAAGTATAAAATAATTTTGCCCAATTCCAAATTACAGATAAATGATAAGGAGACTATGTGGTAAGTTCTGTCAACACCTGAATATAATTTTGTGTTGTTGTGTTATAGAGCCTTGCCCTCATGTGATTTCTCATCAACCCCTTTTTCATTAACCGGAGATAAAAAGACTGATGCTGATATAGAGGCCTTCATCAGAGCCAGACACAACCTGCTCAACAGCACAGGTATTATTCATAACCTCTTACAAACTAGGATCACATACAGAACATTTAAAAATGAAAGTGAAATCATTTAAATATTAAAGTGAAAATATTTTTGGTGATGATAAAACACAGACACTCATGCAGTGGCCAGTGTGCAGACCTCAACATCATACATCACGGGATCCCCTGGATAGAATAAAAGAACGACTGACAGCTCCCTGCTGAAAAAAACAGCTTAAACCAGCCTAGGCTGGTTGGCTGGTTTTAGCTGGTGGACCAGGCTGGTTTTAGAGGGGTTTTGGTCATTTCTAGGCTGGTTTCCAGTCATTTCCAGCCTGGTCTTAGCTGGTCAGGCTGGGAGATGACCAGCTAAAACCAGCTTGACCAGCTTAGCCAGGCTGGGAGCCCAGCCAAAACCAGCTATGTACAGCTTAAACCAGGCTGGTTAAGCTGGTTTTACTGGATTTAGCTGGTCATTTTCCAGCCTGACCAGCTAAGACCAGGCTGGAAATGGCTGGAAACCAGCCTGGAAATGGCCAAAACCCCTCTTAAACCAGCCTGGTCAACCAGCCAACCAGCCTAGGCTGGTTTAAGCTGGATTTTTCTGCAGGGTAGATGTGAAAAGGAAATTGAGGTGGAAAGGGGGTTATAATAACAAAGGCTGCAATATTAATATATAAACATATTTAGACAAATCCGTCTGAGAGCAAATGCATAACCCAATCAGCAGTGCCCAAACTAACTGCAGAGGAGTATTGCACAAAATTGAGATCAAGAAAGCCGGGATAATGGAAAAAGTCAGGTAACGGGTTTAATGGGCACCCTAGCACCTACTATATTTATGAATCCTCACACTCACTGATCTAATGATCATAAAGTCAGCCGAGTTCATGGCTCACAATACGGTTGACGTCAGTTCTTCAGTTCCCAAGTGTGCCAGTGCCAGTCTTCCAATGTACAAAATGGCTGCCACCAGTTTTTCAATCCACAAGATAGCCACCTCCAGTTTACCAGCTCACAAGATGATAATTGCCAGCCTGCTGTGAGCTCCCAAGACAGCTTCCTGTCCGGATTTTTGTCCAATCATGGTTTCTGTTCTTGAATTTCTTGAATCGCCATTGCCTGAACAACAAAAATTATATCACTGCCAGAGCCTCTGCCAGAGTTACCAGAGCTGCCACCATCTTCAGATCTATTACTGCCAGAGCCTCCATCAACACCTGAGCCTCCACTGTGAGTCGTTGATGCCACGCCCGAGCTCCAAGTGTGGCCACCAGTGCCAAAACTACAGCTGCAAGAGCTGTCAATGCTCCTGACTGAGCTCCAAGAGTGGGTGTCACCAGAGCTATAGCTGCAAGAGCTGTTGATGTTGCTGCCTGAGCTTCAAGAGTGGTCAACGACACCAGAGTTACAGATGCCAGAGCTGTCTGACCTCCCAGAGCCATCTGATCTGCCAATGCCTCCTGATCCTGAGCCCCCTGATCCACCTGTGTTTCCTGACCCAGAGCCCTCAGATCTGCATCTGCTCCAAGCTCCATACACAGACTTTTGTTTAAGTTGGCTGTTGTCCATTTGGTGAATTCATAGGCAACTCTTTAGTCCAGATGAGATAAGACACAAGCCGACAGCACAGTTGGTTTTCAACGGGGATAGCTCTTTGACATTAGCCCCTTTCACACAGTGATACCGGTAAATTTCTGGAAAATTTCCGGAACGACTTTACCGGTATATTGAAAAAAGCGCTGTTCACACAGGCGAGGACGTTACGGAAATTTTCCGGAAAAGAGCATTCACACATCCATTCCAAAATACCGGTAAATTCTGACATCATTCACCACAAATGAGCTTTCAACGGCTGCGCTTGTATTTGTAAACATTTGACTTAATTACAAACTCTGTGGATGATCAATATTGTGAACAACTTTCGCAGGATCACTTTCGCATGTCGAGATGTTCATAATATGTGCGTGTGCAGGCGCTCATAGGCGCACGCAAAGCTTGAAGGTAAACAAACAACGGCTTATCATAAGCATCTCATTGATGATTATTTACACAGTTGGCATTAAGAAGAACATATAAACGTGATCTGACTAACTTCTAGCAGCTAAATGTGTCTGGAAAAATATTCAAAGGCTTTTATCCTCACAAACCGCGCGGATGTAAATGCGTCTGACTGTTGTGATTGGCTAAAGCAGACGTCTCACGTCAGCACGTTCTAGACGTGCACGCGCTTATTACGGGAATCTTCCTTCTGCATTCACACAGCGCAGCATTCCGGCACATTGCCGGTAATGTTACAACTTCTCTTTCCGGAAAATAGCCAGAACGAATTTACCGGTATTTTCAAAAAGGACCTGTTCACACATACAACCTTTCCGGAAAATTGCCGGCAATTTTCCGGAAAGGTCTGTATGTGTGAAAGGGGCTATTGACTTGGGGTGTCCCTGCCCTTGTGCCCTGACACTTGTGTGCCCTAACACTCGTCAACTTCCCTAAGCATTACTCCTCAGAAAGTCCCTGCCACAATTTAAAAATTTGTTCCACCTGGTCAATTGAACGAGGGAAGTTTGCAGACAATTAACAACATTACAGAAATTCACAACTTTTATTTTTAAAAGAGTTTTTATATGCATCAGTATTGATTTTTACATTTACCTTTTTACTGTCTTGAATGTGCTAAAGAATGCTCGACAAGATTGAAAATAAGTATATATCTGTTACAAAATGTTTATGTTTCTATTTAACACTACAAATACAAATGATTTGCTACTATTAACTTTGGATCATACAGAAAACAATGTAATGCACTTCAAGATATTATTACATGGGAATTTAAATATCAATTCTATTTTACTTTCATCATCACTATTACTCTTTTATTCTTTGCCTACCAACCTGTGTTTATTGATCATGATTTCCATTGATTATTTCTACGAAATAAGTTCCAAGTTACTCATTGTTACCTAAAATTAAATAACTAAATATAGTAACAAAAAAGTAACAGCACTAAAGCAGGTATGGAAGCCCATTTCTGCCACTGAATACATTTTTTGATGTTATTGTGTCATATAGAAAGGTTATTAAGTCGTTATAACTCACAATTGTGACTTTATATTATAGAATTCTGACTTTTTTCTCAGAGTACTGACTTCATAACTCATTCTGAGATACAAATTCACAATAACTATTTTTATTGTTAATTCAGTGGTGGGAATGGGCTTCCATAGGAATCTTGAATAGGCGTTCAGCTAAAATCGTGATCAGCTTGGAATAATTGTAATTTTCTGGTAATAATTTTTTGCATGCAATATACAATCAGTCTGTTATGAAACCGTTGTTAACCATTTAAAGTGAGTTTGTTAGCATGTGAAAATAGTGGTAATTTGCTACTTGAAGAGTATGAATGACAAAAGTGTGAGTTTTGAACTCACTGAATTTTATGACAGCAACAAAAAATTATTCCGTTTGCTCTGCATAGGCTCACGTTTTACTGATTGTGCGAACAGTTGAACTTGTGGCTTGTTAATGCTTTTAATGATTAAAATAACTTGCTTATTGTGTCATTCCAAACGATTCCGTATGGCTTCGCAGATAAAGCTGATAACCCTGGATTAAAATACAGTTGAACGGTTAAAGTGAACAGAGCAAAAACCCACAGTTAGTAGAGAATTTCTCACCTGTATTGCCAAATGTGGAGGGTTTTCTAATGTTTGCTTTCTCTACAATAAACTTTGAGGCATATGGATGGCCTTATTGTTAGTATTTTGATTTATTGATTACAACTTATCTGTGTTATTTTGTTTCAGGAGAGACTAAGCACTGAGAAAAATTACGACCAGGGAACAATGAACACATTTTTGCATATTGTACAAACCCGCATGGTAACCGATTTTTTTTGTGTATCTTGCTCAAAATAAGCAGCATGTATTTCAGTGTTATGTATATACTGTAGCAATAGTAATTTTTACAAGCTTTCAAAAAATCTTAACCTGATCAGAAATCTGCCAACCTCTTAAAGGTTTTTTACACTATCTATATAGAATTTGTACTCTAAAATGGTAATATTTGCTTATTTTCTATTCTCCTGCTTTATAAATCTGTCAAATGATTTATGTTAATCACGTTATTCGTGTTATAATCACGTGACAAAGTAGCTCTTGTTCATTCAATCACAATAAATGTCTACTTTTTCGATGTGAGGACAAAGATTAAAGGCTTGTTTTACTAGGAGTGAAGATAATTGTAGTGTCAAAGAACCTTATTTAACAGTAAATAAATGCTGTTCCATGAACTACTGCTATTTATCATTATTAAATCTCAAATTGTGTTTGTTTCTTTCTTTTACATTCTTTCTTTCTTGTTTGCTTTCTATTTGTACATTTAAATTTCGTAACGGTGGCGTTTAACGTGCATAGAACTCTCTAATAATAGAATTGTAACGCAAGGACGCTGACAACAGGCGTGAGTTCTTTAGCATAAAGGTAATCCAAAATATGTGGTCAGAGTACAGGCAAAAGGTCAGGCTAGGCGGCAAAGAATCAAAACGGTTAAACAAAGCAAGGATCGAAACGCGGCGAAACAAACAAGGAAGAGCGCTTTGTAATGTTTCATAGAGTAAAACAAAACTCAGCCATGTGTGTTGCAAAGAGAAGTGTCTTTATAGTCTAGTTGATGATTCATTAATGAGCTTCAGCTGTGTGTCTGTGTCATCATTAGTGATCTAGAAGAGGTGTGTGTGAACAGGTAAAATGGGATTTGTAGTTGTTTGGTGGCAGATTTGTAGTTCTCCAGTGGTCTGTATGGACTAGATTGTTTGTGATTGTGACAACAATAATAATAATATTAATAATAATAATAATAAACAATTATATGACTGGTATAAAAAGCCATGGGCATATATGATTTTATTTCTTATCAGAGTGTCTCCTTGTGTTTAAGGTGTTATAGGAAACATATAGAACAGTCTTTGAGATACTTGTTTATTTTATCATTTCAGTGGTTTCGGCGGGTTTCTTCTCAGATAAACCTGATTAAATATATATTATTTTATTCCTTAACTTTAGCTTTTTTTTTACCTGAGCTAAAACGCCATTTTTGGACATTTTTGCTATAATGATGCACTATTTTGCATGACTCTGAATAGATTTGTTTGAGAAATAAGGTTTTGAGCAGTCTTTTGCATAAGGGAGCAGCACATTCCTTCATCATATTCAACAGATTTAAGAGGCCTTTGCTTCCTTTAATAGATTTATGTGTTTATTTTGCTGACACTTTTATATAAAGCAACTTATAATGAATTAAAATGAACCATTTTATTAGATTGTGCTTTCTTAGGGAATCATTCCCTCAGCCTTATCTAATCAGATTTTTTTCTGTAATAAAATTTGTACCAGTCATTCCCAAATTTAAGTAAAATGAAGAGAACTGAATTTTAATAAGATTCACCTTTAATATATTAGTATTCAATTTATTGTAATATATATGTTGTGTTAAATATGAAAAATTAATATTAATACATTGTAATTGCACATCCCAAAATTGCAGCATTGTTTTAAAGAATCAGTGCACAGTGAAGAAAATATCTTTGTTATAATATATATAAATATATATCTAAATATATATATATATATATATATATATACAGGGTGGGCCATTTATATGGATACACCTTAATACAAAGGGAATGGTTGGTGATATTAACGTCCTGTTTGTGGCACATAGATGTGAAGGGGCAAATTTTTCAAGATGGGTGGTGACCAGCGTGGCCATTTTGAAGTCGGCCATCTTGGATCCAACTTTGCTACCCATTGTGTTGGATTGTCAATGCAACCCTCCTCTCCCAGAAGATTAATTGAAATGTAAATACTGTACACATTGTATACAGTATATACGCGGCGACAAGCAGTAGGGGTTTGACACCACACTTTTCTTTTTATAAATAAATTCTCTTTTTTTTATAGTTAGCTATAGTCATAGTTAGTTTTAGAGTTAGGAAAGTATTGTAATTGTTTTTTATTAGGTTTATTTAATATATTTAAGTGAGTTTGGTGATAAGTTTTATCTGTGAGAGGCTGTGAATACTTGTGATTTTTCAGGTTTTTTATTTTATAAATTTGCAACAATTTCAAAAAATCTTTTTTCACATTGTCATTATGGGGTATTGTGTGTAGAATGCTAGAAAATAAATGAATTTAATCCATTTTGGAATAAGGCTGTAACATTAAAAATGTGGAAAAAGTAAAGCGCTATGAATACTTTACGGATGCACTGTATCTGCTAGCCAGTCAAGCAAGAGAGCACCAGTCCTTACTGCATACTCTCATCCAGTACCTCACAGTATGATGCAGGGGCATGAAGGAAAAGTTAGTGAATGAATAGGCAGAGGTGGCCTGTTGCCTGAAAATGTATATCTGCTAGCGTCTGTTCGCATGCACAATGTGGGAAGTGAACTACAGTTTAACTTGTCGCAAAACATAATGGCCAAAATCACATAAGATGCCACGATGAAGCCAAACTGTTGTTGTGTGAAACGCCAGAGGAAGCTAGCATCAAATGGGGACGTAGCGAACTGTAAAATGGGAACATGAAGGAACATTCAAAAAGCAACTCATATAAACACCTTAATCATATTATTGTCTTACTCAGATTAAGGCAAATAATTTGATTACTGATGTCCATGTAAACGTAGTTGATGCCCATGCCAGAGAATACTCTTTCTAGATTATGACCATTTTTTCCTCCTTCCTTAACTCATCTTTCCCTGTTTCTTCTGCTCTCCTTCAATTAGCATTGCGTTTGCATGTCAGCTTGTAAGGTCAGAATCTAGAATTCATTACTCAGGGGTTGATTTGCCTGTCACGTAAACAGAGTAAATCCACACCCAGTAGCACGATCCTGCATCGGCAGACAGGAGAGCCAGGCAACCAAAGGCACCATGCTCTCCATGTTTTCAGGAAAGTTATGTCAGTTTCTCAGTGTAACCCGGTTACCTTCTATCCTTTTTCTTGGAGTTTTTTATGTCGCTTATGTTCTTGTCGGAGGGCTGGTATTCTGGAAGCTAGAAGGATGGTATGTGTTGCAACAGATTGCTCTTTTGAAAGAGAAAAGACTGGAACTGCTTGAGAAGTACCCCTGTCTGGGTCAGAATGGCCTCAGTGAACTAGCACAGGTATGACTGGATATTGAGACTACATTTTTCTTAACAGTATGGCGCAGTGAGGGACTGTTTAGACAACTGTTTAGACGCTTTTCAATATATGTTTAGCATCTATATTTTTCTGATTTATGTTTCATATTCATATGTTATTTCCAATGCAATCTCATGGCAATTCGTAACTTTTTAATTTAGTGGCGAATTCGTATGAATTCGTATGATCTAATTCGTACAATTTAGTACGATTTGCTCATCACCCAATGATGGTTGGGTTTAGGGGCGGGGTTGCGTGCCACGCCTCCTTTTTAAAATCATACATTTTCGTACGTCTCAACTCGTACAAATTTGTACGAATTTGCCACTAAACTGACAAAGCGTAAAATACGTACGTTTCCTCGTGAGATCAGACTGGTTGTTTCATTGTCAAATCCTAAATTCCAAATTCCTGTAAAACTTTCTTCAAAATTCTCTCTCAATTTTGCAAAAAAAATAATTAATTAAATAAACAAAAAATTAAAATAATACTCTTGTACTGTTAAAAAAATCTCACACTCTTGGTTACTGTTTGTACGGAGACCTGAAAGGGACGTGATGGTGGAGAAAAAAAAAATGGGTGGGAGAAAAAAAAAAAAAACGAGTGATAGGTAAACATTTTTGAAAGTTTTTGCATTCCCCTTACAAAAACTTCAAACATGACAACCCTGTTTTTGCCGGGATTCTCCCGTGTTTTACCATTATATCCTATTATTAGGTATTTTCCCATATTTCTGTCATATTTTTTATCTTGAAAGCATGTTGAAATTAATATAAAAATGTCTGAATTCACTTTCTTTCCATTAAAGCTGAGCGTCGTTCAGGGAAGCTCATATGCAACCTCTGAATCAGTGAATGCATGTATAAGCGCTGACTGACTCCCAGATCAGCTGTACACGCCATTTTAAAGAGAAGCTTAAGTGCAGGAAAATTTGGGATTCGGGTGTGCGTTTAAACAGACAAATACACTTAATATGTAAACATTCCCGGACGTCCTGCATGTTTCATTTCAAACATAACTAATTTCCTCCTAAATGAACACAAACGGGTAAAGTATGGTTTCGTTCAACACAATCTCATGGCAATTCGTAACTTTTTGATTTAATGGCTAGTTCGTATGAATTCGTACGATCTAATTCGTACAATTCAGTACGACTTGCTCCTCCCAATGACGGTTGGGTTTAGGGGTGGGGTTAGGTGCCACGCCTCCTTTTTAAAATACGACAATTTCGTACGAATTCATATGAATTAGCCACTAAACTGGCAAAACGTAAAATACTTACGTTTTCTCGGTAAGTGACACCTCTGTTATTAAACAAAACAAAACGAGAGATTCATTTGCTGCTCTTCACTTATTTGATAACAGAGGTGTCACCTTACAGTAAATATCGTGTACAGATGCTGATCTGGGTTCAGTTTATCATACGGAGCGAGTCCGTCAGTCAGTCAGTTTTGAGAGGAAACGCAAAACATATTTGCGAGATAGCGAAAAACATCTTTGTGAGGAAAAGCAAAAACTTTCAAAAATATCTTTACCTACCACTAGGCCCACACGAAATCTGCGAGCGCAGAATTCCGCGGATTTTTAGCCCATCATTAATTCTGTTTATTTACTTGAGTAAACGTGTGTAAATCTATATTTATTCAGTTCTTTTAAAATTAATTACAGTTATATTATTGACTAATATGAAAATGTTCATCTGATTTATGTACAATGCAGTTTGTAAAGTAATATTTTCTGTCTTTTAGTAGAGACATAATATGAGACTTACTTTGTTTACCAAATAAAGTGAATCTAATTGGATTTGCATTTTAAACATTCAATAAAAGTTTAAAAGATATTATTTTTTATTTCACATATTAATGTTTTAGTTATGATACTCCCAAAATAATTCTGTAGAAATCCGCAGATTTTTACCAAAATTCTCAGCGTAAATTGCAAAAAACTTTCGCAGATTCCGTCTGGCCCTGTCTATCACTCGTTTTTTTTCTTCCGCCCATTTTTTTCCACCATCACGTCCCTTACAGTTCTCCGTATGCTTGTTATTGTTAGCTCATATATTACAAATACATAGTTCTTGCTTGTCCTCACTGTCTCAAAGATGATCAAATCTGCTTCCCTGAGAGGCTTGAGTCCAGACAGCAATGACACTGCAGATGGCCTCTGGAAATTTACCAGTTCATCTGTGTTTGCGGCGACAGTGGTCACAACTATTGGTGAGTAATGGGGAATGTATCTCCTTAAATTTGATAACTAAATCGAATCGATTTGTTGTGTGGCGCCCATTAAGTTATTTTGTTCTTTCTGCAGGCTATGGGAATATAGTTCCGCTGACAACAGCTGGTCAAATATTCTGTGTGATGTTTGCTCTTTTCGGCATTCCTCTGAATGTTGTAGTCTTGAACAGAGTTGGGAAATACATGCTGGCAATTGAAAGACATTTTTGCAATTTTCTGGAGAAAAAAATTGATAGAGGGGTGAGAATTTAACAATTTTTTTTATTTTTTTTTACCAGTCATTGTTGAAGTAGTGGGTTGTATACATATTTATAATACATACAGCGCTCAGCATAATTGAGTAAACCCCATTTTAAAAATTAATAGTTTTATTCACTTCTCAGTGAATATAGGCAATGTATTTCAGTGTATTTAAACAAAACAAATTTATTAACTAAAATAATATTTTAGTCACATAATTTATTTAGAAGTTAAAAGATAATACGATTAAATTCAAGCTAAATATTGCAAAATATAAACGATTTTGTTTCCAATTTTTTTCCTTCTTTGGATTTTTCCTCTTTTTTTAAATTTGTATTAATTTTTTTCGATAAAGTATACATTTGGCTGTACTAGCTTTTGGACCATTATCGTAAGTTGTTTTGTTAAATAAGCTCCATATTTGGCTTATGTACTGACCAATCTAATGTACAGTTGAAGTCAGAATTATTAGCCCCCTGTTTATCTTTTTTCCTAATTACTGTGTATTTTTTTAACACATTTCTAAACATAATAGTTTTAATAATTTATTTCTAATAACTGATTTATTTGATCTTTGCCATGATGACAGTATATAATATTTTCCTAAATACATTTCAATACACCTCTATACAGCTTAAAGTGACATTTATAGGTAGGCAGGTTAGGGGAATTAGGCAAGTTATTGTATAACGATGGTTTGTTCTGTAGATTATCTGAAAAAAATATAGCTTTAAGGGGCTAATAATATTGACCTTAAAATGGGTTTTAAAAGTTAAAAACTGCTTTTATTCTAGCCGAAATAAAACAAATAAGACATTCTCCAGAAGAAAAAATATTATCAGACATACTGTGAAAATTTCCTTGCTCTGTTAAACATCATTTGGGAAATATTTAAAAAGGGAAAAAAAATTAAAGGGAGGGGTGACTTCAACTATATATGCACAAATATAATATTGTATCTTTCTACTTAATAAATACATTTTAAAGAGAGATTTGTGAGGGGTGTACTTAAATGCTGAGCACTGTAAATGAAAATCTACATGCTTCACCTGTACGTGCATGCACATTGCACCCATGAATCTGTTTCCTCCCACAGAAATGTGTACGGATATCAATTCATAGTATATCCTTTGTGAGTTCAGCATTCTTGTACCTTGTGGTTCCTATGCTGCTTTTTAAAGAGTATGAGGGATGGAGTTATGCTGAAGCCATTTATTACTGCTTCATAACACTCAGCACTATTGGATTTGGAGATTACGTTGCAGGTAGTAGACTACACATAAAAAATAATTAAACAGTATTTATGTTCCATGTGTCAAATATATTCAGAAATGTAATGGTTGTGTAACATACCAAATAGAATCAATATTTTGATTTGAATTTTGAAGGTACCAAATAAAAAAATGCAGAGAGAAAGACACAATTGAGATGCAGAATTTTAAAACATGTTCATTTATGCCAGTTTAAAAAATTTATGTTATAAGCACAGTATTATGTGCACTCTATTACACTGTAAAAACTTTACAGTTTATTTCCGGCAACTGGAGTGCTGGAAAAAAAAAAAAACTTAAAATAACGGCTGTTAATTTATAAAAATTTACAGTAAAATAATGGACATTAAATTGCAGAAATTTCCTTAAATTTAAGTTTCTGGGAAATTTCTGTTATTCAACCTCTATTATTTTACAGTAAATTTCTGTAATTTAACGGCCGTTATTTTACTTTTTTTTTTATAAATAAACCGTAAAATTATCGATTTTATTCACAGTGTAGATATGATGCATTCAAATTCCATTCCTAAATTAAGTCTGATTTAATCAACCCAGGCTCATTCTGAAAGCGTAGTCCCACGAACGTTTCTGGCGACCGCAAATTACCGGGGGTACGTATGGTTGCATTTCATTTTTTTTTTAAACGAACGCTACGGGGCAGTGTGACACCGTTCCTTTTCGCGCTTACCGGCTGAAAGCTAACCCTGAGTGGAGGGCTTTCCCCTCGCAACCAGTTTGTCCAGTTAGCTCTTCTTGTATATCGGCAGACTTTAGAGGCAGGGAGAAGATGACCATGACGTCAATGGGGTTCGAGTCCGGGGAAGAGCGGTTCCAGAAATCAGATAAGACAAAAAACAGAATCCAAAAAATTTAATGAATGAGTGAATAACAGGGTAAGAATGTGGTGAAATCGGACGAGGGCTTTTCTTTTTCTGGATGACTTTTGTACATCGTTGGTTGGGTTTAAGGGAAGTAAGTGGGTGGGTGGGTCAATCGATCAAATTGGTTGGGTTTAGGGAAGGAGCAGGGTTGGTCTGTCGACTGGTCAGCCGGCCAGTCAGTCATTCAGTCAGTCAGACAGATGCTTAGTCGACATCGGCCTCTGGTGGGTTTACACGAGAACAGCGCAGCTGCTAACAACACTAGCAAGAAAAATTTGAGATACGAAAAAAAATAAATAAATAAAAAAAAATTAAAAATCGCACGCAGTCCACGGGACTACGTTTTCAGAGTGAGCCTGTGTTGAATTTAAATTTAACAGCTTTAATTTACGATTTTGCTCTAACCTAATAAGTATACCTTATTTTTTCTTTGTTTGTCAGATCACAACCCAGCAATAAATTACCCTGAGTGGTACAGCTGTTTGATGGCTGTCTGGATATTCTTTGGCCTGGCTTGGCTTGCGCTTCTTGTCAATCACACTATTGATTTACTGGAAAGTCTGAACGCTTACCTGAGAGGAAGGCAGAATGGACAATCACAAATGAATGAGACTGAAGAAAAGCCAGAAAAAGAACGGATAGGGGAAGAAACATGAGAAGTAAGTTACGGAAAAAGGAAAACTTTTGACGGACGATTAGTACTGGAACTATTGATTAATTAAATGGTTTAAATAATTGTCTTGACCCCAAAATGAGCTAAAAAAATTGCAAATTTATGATTTACACAGTCATATAATTGAATCAATTGTCTGGCTAAACATTTTTGTTTTGCACCACAAATCCCCATAAGTCTCACAATAGGGAAAGAAGTTTAGTGTTGTATATACTTTTTATTACTCACAATAATAATTTTAAATATTTAAATATAATTTAAGGATATTAAACTGGCAAGCCAGGTTCATTTTGATCATATAATTGTAAGTGATAGAGAGGTTTAGATTGTATAAAAGGAAATTTCTATTGTTGATTTTTGCTGTTCTGTATGTTAACGTTTGATTCTCCAGTCGTATGACAACTCATACTTTTCAATCAAAACACTTTTGATACTCAATTTACCTGTAATATGTGAATCTAAAATAAACTGATAACATTTGACAATTTGTTTCAGCATAGAAACTGATTTTAATTTCCCCACAGTATCATTACATTAACAATGTCACGCCATATACAGTTGATGTCAGAATTATTAGCCCGCGTTTATTTTTTTCCCCAATGTCTGTTTGACGGAGAGTAGATTTTTTTCAGCACATTTCAGCACATAATAGTTTTAATAACTCATCTCTATTAACTGATTTATTTTATCTTTGTCATGATGACAGTAAATAATATTTAACTACATATTTTTCAAGACACTTCTACACAGCTTAAAGTGACATTTAAAGGCTTAACTAGGGTAATTAGGTGAACTAGGCAGGTTAGGGTAATTAGGCAAGTTATTGTAGAACGATGGTTTGTTTTGTAGACTATCGAAAAACATATAGCTTAAAGGGGCTAATAATTTTGACCTCAAAATAGTTTTTAAAAAAAAGTAAAAACTGCTTTTAATCTAGCCAAAATGAAACAAATAAGACTTTCTCCAGAAGAAAAAATATTAGCAGACATAATGTGAAAATTTCATTGCTATATTAAACATCATGTGGGAAATTAAAAAAATAAATAAATAAAAAAATCAAAGGGGGGCCAAACAATTCTGACAACTTTACTCATGTTACAAAATGTGCAAAATTTAAGAATAAGAAGAAAAACTGATTTATGACAGAAAACCATCAAACATCATGTTACTATGGTTACCTTCTAAATGCAAAGCAGACTTGGTCTGTGCAAAACTGTATTTTACACCAAAACAGAGACACTTAAAAAATGTATGTACAGTGGATGATTTGCTATTGCAATCTGAACTCCCTATATGGCTCAATATTTTCCACCTACACTTACAAACAACCTCCATAGACTGATATCTGTGTTGCATGTACATCAATAGCTCAAGTTGTATCAGCTCTGTCACTGGAAGATTTAGTTCATGCAAACCCACTGACTGGGATTTCCATTTCCATTCACACAGCAGCAGGCAAGTATATAGAGGAATTTTCCACTGAAAACAAGTGCCTTAACACAAAACTCCTTATTTCACGATATCCAGATTAGCACTGGTTGGTAAACAATTTTATTCTCCCTCTATTGGTTGAATGTTGAATGAGTTTCTTTTTTCCATATAACACAAAATAAGATATTTTGAATAAATCTGTAATGTTACTGTAACGCTGACAAAGGGGTGCAGATCCAAACGTAGCTTTGCTGAACAGAGAATGGTCATGCAAGCAACAGTCAACACAGGAGCAAACAGATGTATACAGGCAATCCAGCGTCGTGGTCGATAAACAGGCAGATGTTCAAAAAGGCAGACAGGAATAAACAAACAAGACTAAGCAAGGTTCAAAGACGGAAGGCAAGGAAAACTTGTCTTAATGTTCACAAAACTGCTCAACAAGACTCAGCACAGATGTGTGCGTGAGTGATCTCTTTATTGTTCATCGTTACGTTCCCACTTAAATCTAGAGGCAAAAACACAGCTCGGAACGAACAAATGAAGGAAGAGGGGAGAGTACCGCTTCCAGACCCAGAATCAACAGTCAACACCTTCTTAATATTCTGATCACCATCAGGCAACCATTGATTTATTGTGTGATCAAATGAAATAATATTTCTCAAATTTTATAGAAACAATACAAAACAAAAATAATACCTCAGGATATGGGGGTCCAAAATAACAAACAAAACAACCAATAACTAATTTAAGACAAAATAACTTACCTAACAAAATAAACATTCCCAGAAGAAAGAAAATACATATCACTTCCCTTCCTACCCACCAAAACAGGAGAAAAAGGTTTTAAAACAAAATACACCCCACACCTTACTTAAACCAGCAACTTATTTCACATTATAAACATGAAACCACTAGAAGTCAGAAGCCCCTGGTATCTGGGACTGGAGCAGCTCAAGTGAGACATGTCGTCTACCCTCTCCCTTGCCTTCTGGTCAGTTGCAGCCAGTCTTTATAGTTCAGTTGATTAGCTGCGCAGATTAGACTCAGGTGGCATCAATCTGTAAACAAAAGAAATCAGGAAACAGAAAAATTGCAATATAGAAACAAAAATAAAACAGTCACGGGACGTAACGTCATGTAATCAGTTCATGAACGGCAGGATCTAGACCAGGTGTGTGAGTGGTGCATGACTGGGTCTTGTAGTACTTTTGCTGGCAGATTTGTAGTTCGTTAGCAAACTGTGTGTTTACCAGCGAACTGCACAGGCTGGATCGATGGTGATCGTGACAAAACAAGGACCAGATGCTAAAAAAAAAAAAAAAAATATATATATATATATATATATGCCTGTCTGTGTGATGTATGTAAAATTCATTCCATTTTCCAGACTGCATTCTTTAAGACACCAGTATGCACATTGTGCTATGGCTTCAGTTTTTTTCCCTATTTTTTGTGTAATGTGAAATGGAGCTATGTGGTATTTGGTACATACCACACCATGGCGTTCATCACGCTCAAAAGCCAGGCAAATTGAGAGTGGAGTTCGACTGCTCTGCAAAATTCCATTGTGTTTCTCTTATTAATACTCTTCTCACTGGCCCAGACTGACTTAATTCTTTGGTGGGAGTTTTGTGCTGATTCAGGAAGGAGACAGTCACTGTAAAGGCTGATTTATACTTCTGCGTCAAACGCCGGCGTATGCTACGGCGCTGACGCATAGCACTTCGCGGCGTCACTGACGTGCACCTCTCAAAAAATTTAACTACACATCGCAACGACGCGTAGCGCAAGCTCTGTGATTGGTCGGCTTGGTAGCGCTGACGAGTCTGCGTGGGACCGAGAATGGTGCGAGCTCGATGGAGCGATTGTTTACAGGTGTGGAGTCCCGTGAAGGAGCTCCGGATGGAAAGTTTTGTTCTGTGTTTACCTCATAGTTAAAGTTGTTGCACGTCCGCCGGTTCCTGCCTTAAAATGAGCGAGTTTGAGCCACTTGTACATCCAGGAAGTGTTCAGGAAAAGCAAAACAGCAGTGAAGAAACTCGACACAGAGGAAAATTTACACCTCACTGCCAACTAGCGTTTCGGAAGTCTTAATGCAGACCAACAGAGACAGCGCGCGGAAGTATAAATGCACAGCTACGGGCGTTGCATGCGCCGTGGGTTACGCCGGTCACTTGACGCAGAAGTATAAATCAGGCTTAACATGTGATATCAAATAAATGTTCCACCAGTTTGTCGTTGCCCTTGAAGAAAGAAACGTTTTAAGATTCGTATGGGGGGATAATGAAGACATGGAGAGAGAGCCCCAAGAGTACAATATGGCCGTACATCTATTTGGGGCAGCGTCATCTCCCGGTTGCGCTAATTTTGGCCTTAAGTTGCTGGCAGAACAATACAAGTCTGAATACCTGTCCGCCTTATCATTCATCAAGAAAAACTTCTACGTTGATGACAGGCCCGGATTGGCTAATCGGGAGGACCAGGAGAATTCCTGGTGGGCCGGTCCGATTTTTGGCCGCGAGGGCCGGTGTCCCTCGCACTTTATTTATTTATTTTATTAAATTTATTTATTTACTTGACCACAGCCTTTTTATTCATTATTTTATCGCAACTCTTCTCTTTTGATCTATTTTAATGATGATAAAACTTAGTTGTGTCTCCTTACTGTACACAGCTGTTGTGGTCCAGCGGTTAACACGTTAGATTAAGACTCCGCGGACCCAGGTTCTATCCTCGATAGAGTAATTTATTTTTATTGTTAAGACATATAATACTGTTAGGGTTGTTGAAAGACATATAATACTGTTAGGGTTGTTGAAAGACATATAATACTGTTAGGGTTGTTGAAAGACATATAATACTGTTAGGGTTGTTGAACATTTGAAGTTCTAAAGCAGCTGTTTTCTCAAAAAAAGATGTGATAGTGTCATTAGCAACTGATTTGGAAATGACCTTATTTTAATATAGTCAGTCGTGAACTGAGGTGGGCCGGTCTGAGGCTTGAAACTCCAGGGCTGAAAAGGAGTCCCACTCCGGCCCTGGTTGATGATGGGTTGATTTCTGTTCCATCAATACAAGTAGCTAAAGAGCTAATAGTTGAAGCCCAAGCCCCGTGCAAGCGTGTGGGTCTACACCTTCATAAATTCATCTGTGTGGATTATTCAGAATGGGCACATACCAACGAAGCACTCAATCTTAACCCTTACACAACAGGACACATTCTGGGAATTCAATGATCTATGAATGATGATATATTTGGCTTTGATTTCAAATGGAAAGGACTCCTATCCATATCTTTAAGTCACCTCTAGAGGGCAACAGCCTATAAGCTGCCCTTTATAGGTGACTTACAGATAGAGAGGGTGGTGCATGATACATTTTAAGTTTTATCTAAAAAAGTAATGTACGTCTAGTTTTGTTTAAGAATGGCCAACAAAAGACGAGTTTCTAGGAGAGAATACATAAGACAATGGAGAAAAGCCAGCGATATTCTTTCTAATAGTCAACAAAAACAAAAAATGATATATGCATTAGTTCTGTCCCTCAAAACTATGTACAGCAGAGTTTATCAAGATCGATTTCAGAGTGTGGCATGGTTTCTTTTATCAAGAGAGAGTGAAAATGTATCCTTAAACCAAGAAGATACACTCAGCACAGATTTCTCATCTGATCATGACATGTATTTGTCACTTTCTGAAGAGGATGTTGAAACAAATACTTTGAGAGATGACCTCATCACATAAAACTCTATTGTGTGACCACTCGCTGTTGTTTTTAAAGGACTCGCATAAATTGTATTTCAGAATGTTTTCAGTTGTAGAATTCGTCTCAGATCACAGCATTGCTGTAATTCCTGATGTATGGAAAGAAGAATTAGACAAGGTAAGGAGTATACTACACTATAATTACTACTGTATTAAATGCAGTTATGTTAGCTAAAACACAGCCATAATGTCCATAATGTGGAAAATAAATCCTGCTTATCATTAAAAACACACACACACACACACACAAAGATAAAATAATGCAAATCTTGTACATTCATAGTAAAAAAA